GATCTATAGTCTACCATCTGTATGGTCCAACAGATCTATAGTCTACCATCTGTATGGTCCAACAGATCTATAGTCTACCACCTATATGGTCCAACAGATCTATAATCTACCACTATATGGTCCAACAGATATATAGTCTACCATGTGTATGTTCCAACAGATCTATAGTCTACCATATGTATGGTCCAACAGATCTATAGTCTACCACTATATGGTCCAACAGATATATAGTCTACCATATGTATGTTCCAACAGATCTATAGTCTACCACCTGTATGTTCCAACAGATCTATAGTCTATCACCTGTATGGTCCAACAGATCTATGATCTATAGTCTACCACCTGTATGGTCCAACAGATCTATAGTCTACCACCTATATGGTCCAACAGATCTATAGTCTACCACCTATATGGTCCGACAGATATATAGTCTACCATCTGTATGTTCCAACAGATCTATAGTCTACCACCTGTATGGTCCAACAGACCTATAGTCTACCACCTGTATGGTCCAACAGATCTATTTTCTACCACCTGTATGGTCCAACAGATCTATAGTCTACCATCTGTATGTTCCAACAGATCTATAGTCTACCACCTGTATGGTCCAACAGATCTATAGTCTACCATCTGTATGGTCCAACAGATCTATAGTCTATCACCTGTATGGTCCAACAGATCTATGATCTATAGTCTACCACCTGTATGGTCCAACAGATATATAGTCTACCACCTGTATGGTCCAACAGGTCTATAGTCTACCACCTGTATAGTCCAGCAGATATATAATTTAATTTAATTTCCATTTTTTTCATATATTGTCGGAATTACAATCTGAAGTTATCTTTTTTTCATTATATACCAATGAATGTGAAACCTATTTTAATGCACATATCGCTGTACGTACAATTTATGGTAATTTAATGAGACATTAGTACATACAGTTATTGATGGTTAAATGTCAATCTGGTGAACTTACAAATTTAGACCCCTTCCCAACCCGCCAAAACCCTCCATATCAAGACCACTTTCACTCAGACCTCCAGCTGGTCTTAATTGAGAGGTTTCACTGTACAGCTGTATGTACATGAATATACAAGTTGTTCCCTACTGAATTCCCATGTTATGTAACTTGTTAAAGGTGCATTCCACTTTATACACAAGAATAACATTGTTAAGTCTATATACAGATGGTATTTATTGACAGAACTGATGCTCCACTGGTGTCAGACTTTTGTATTGCTATATGATATCATTATTCTGTTGTTTATCAAGTTACTTTCCATCTGGTGTTCAGCTAAAAGTACTTTTGATACCAATATTTTTTTCGGAGAGGTGCAAATAAGATTTTCAAGATAGTGGCCATGGCTACCATCATGAATGCAACACAGGTCCAAAATTAGTCAGTTCTCTATAAGACTTCCATACGAAATACCCATAATAAGATGGCAGCAATTTAAATGTGGCAAGGATCCTAATTTCTATCTCCATATGACTTCCTGTTCAAAAGGAGTAGTGAAAACATTTTAAGATTGTGGCCTTCCTGAATTAGACAAGGTTCTGAATAATACAACTCATCAGGGGAAGTCCTGTTCAAACACAAAATTTCATTCTAGGATAATAAAAAAAAATTTCAAGATGGCAGCCAACTTTAAATGGATATGGGTCTAAATTTTATTTAGGACCATTGGTGGACAATACACCACTCATAATTGGAAATCCTTCCATGATATAACTTTCAGTCCAGGAAAAGTAGAAATAACAAAATTTTCAAGATGGAAGCCATAGTAGCCATCTTGAATGTCACAGGATTGCAGATTTCACTCATGATCAACAAGTCCTTCTCAATGGAAGTCCTGTTGCTATAGCACTGTAAATTTTGGAGAAGTAGCAATAACAACATCTCTATTAGAGAGTGACAGAGGACAAGCTATGACTTCAGATGTTCTAATTTTCAGCCATTGGAGCCATTATTATAATTACATATTATTATAAGATGTGATGTTTTCGCATCAGGAAATTGTATACAAAACAACTCGGCTAGAATCATTTGCTGAATCTAAAATATAACATGCTAATTCTAGATAACTTCAACTCCACACAGTGATTTGTTTTCATTGTTTTATTCTTGATACAAAATTGTTAAGTTAATCTAAAGGCTTGTTACAATCTTAAATAAATAATTGTACATTTTTACATATCATACTAGACAGCTAGCTATATATAACACACCTGCATTTAGGTAAAACATGTACCTGGGAACAGTAATAGTCATCAGGTATGTTTCTTACATCATTTGAAATGTAAGGTATATATAGATATTTATTTACAAATCCTTTGTACAATACGTAGACATAACAAAGAAACTATGGAGATGATTACCACAAGCATTATCACCTATCTCTGTCATTCACTATCACCCACTCCTGCTTAGCTGGAAATATTGATCACTAGGACAAATATACAATGCAAAAGCTTGATAAAACACAAGCAATTTAACTGGGAATGTGAGATTTCGAAAGTAATAATACTATGTCACAGGAAATTCTAGCAGTCATGATATTTGGTGATTTTTTCCAAAAAACTGAAAGTTAGCATTTGGCAACTTGAATTTTGGCCCTAGTTTAGAGATTTAGACATCATGACTAAAATGATATAATGACATTTTCAAATTTCAAAATCAATTACTTTCATATTTTCAATGGTTTTAATTTCACGTATTAATTTTCAAACGTTTTTTAAAAATTTTAATAGTGGGCTGTTTAACCAGGTTTACTAAATACGAAATCACAAGTCCTGTGTCATTTGGTACCTACCTGTAATTAAAAAAACACAGGAAAGGTTCTATGTCACATTCAGCCTTTTTGTTTGAAGGTAAACATCTGACCAATGGTTAGTGTCGGACATTCTTACATATAGATAAGCATAAATCATTTCATAAATACTGGCACTAGGAACAGGGAAATTGCACCAATATCTAAATCATGGACATGGAATTACATGGTAGAGTAAATCATTTTAAACTTGCTGTGTTATCATACATAAATGTCTGACCATAAGTTTCAATTATTTTTCAGGATAGTGTATTAATGAAATCATTCTCATACCCAGGTTGAAATTCTCTGATCTTACTAACTTCTTAATCACTAAAATAAAGACATGCTGCCAAAATTTGATTCTACGTTTGAAAACGGTGTTGGTTTAAAAAAATTTAAGTGTCTTTAAATATCAAAGAAATTTTCAACACAGTCAAAAATTAAAAGTTTCGATAATGGAGTGACATTGGCTTAAAGAACTAGGTTGCAAGCATTAGGAGAGAGTACAGAATCAATGCTTGATGACAGGAATGTGGCTTTTGAAATATAGAACATATTGTCCAATTCACAGAATAATGAGTAACAAGTGGGAATGTTTACATACAAATCATGTGATGTACAAAACAAGTGAGGAAAGGTTTGGAGGAAGGAACAAAAGGTAGTTACTGGGTTGGGGGCAGAAGTAGGGCTGAGGGTAGGGTAGGTATGGAGGCAGGGTTAAAGATAAGGAAGGGATGAGGGCAGAGGTAGGGCTGAGGGTAGGGTAGGTGTGAAGGCAGGGTTAAAGATAAGGAAGGGATGGGGCAGAGGTAGGGCTCAGGATAGGAGAGGGTAGATGAGGGGTAGAGGCAGGGGCTGAGGGTAGGGTAGGGTTGGAGGAAGGGCTGAGGTTAAGGCAGGGGTCGGGGTGGAGGCAAGGGTATGGTGGGGGTGGAAGTAGGACTAAGTGGAGGATTGGGATGAGGCTGGGGGTTGGAGTGAGGGTTAGGTTGGGCTGAAAGTATCGTAAGGTTAGGGGGCTGGGAGTTGGAGGTGGGGTAATATGGCAAGGACACCAGGGACAGACACAATATCATGTGGATATCCTGACTATACAAATATTTCTCAGAATTACTGCCTCCTTTGCTCTATTTTACACTACAGTAATTCTAAAATAGTGCTCTACTGACCAATGACAACAAAATATCAATATAAAAATCAACAATTATTCCAGTTCCTGTCTGTCCTTAGGAAACTGATACCCTATCTTAATATCTATGATGTGTGGTATGAAGAATGAAATGCTTCTCAGTAGACTGTAACTTTATAACACTGTTAATCAACTTTGTCAAGATTTTATACATAAAAGCAAGCAGATTTGTCTAAAAGCAATCAAGGACATAAACACTAATGATAGTATTAAGTAAATAACAGGTAAACATAGTATTGTCTATAGGAGCTCTCTGCTCAGGGAGGAATTCCTAGTTTATTGATAATAATGAATAATCAGACTGACACTAGCAACAAAGGAAGATAGCAGCGTCACAAGGACATTAAAATACAAACTAATTTCTAGGAAGTCCAAACAAATCACCCCTTAAAATTCCTTAGTCCTAAATTCTACAGCTGTGCAGCTATCAGCTAAACTTGGACTGGCTGGAGGGTTATAATGGGATATGCTTTAATTATCTCCAGCAACATCACTATAGACAAAAGATCTAACAACACTGGTGACAGAGAATTGTTTTAACATTATTTGTCAAATCACCAGTGACAAAACAAATATCTTAATATCACTAATCTTGACAAGAGAAAGATCTGCATAGCACTACAGACAAGGTAAAGATCTTAAATGTTGTCACTGATGTAGAAATGTCTTTATCAAATAAAATAACAATTTAAGTTTGTCGATATCCCATATTGAATACTTTATTCCACTGACTTCCCAAAAATGCCTAATTACATAACTAATGAAGGAAGTCCTTATGCAATCGAATTGATCAGACTGACTTAAATTACTGGCAAATTTGCCAGCTATATTCAGTCTGTCTTCCAATCCCATAATGCTTTGTGCATAGCACCTGTTATGATGAAAACAAGATGGAGTGACTTGTATGCATCCTAGTGGATTCTTGGTAAGTACTGATTGCTATCATGGTTGTTAACAGATATTTATGATAAAATTGAATCATCACCGATATAAAGCTTGAGATTGTGCTATTTTTAAGAAAGCTTTCTCCTGGCAAGCTGGACAGTAAATTTTCTGATTTGGTAAAGAAGACAGGAAGACATCTGAGAGCAATGTCTACTTTTATGGGAAAATTAAAAGTTTTTCTTTATTTTATGAGGTGAGTGGTGACCAGGTTTAATATCATTTACCACAAGAGAAGGACCTTACACATACAAATCACTGGCAATACTGAGATTATTTAATATCACTTGGTCATTAATACATTGAGAGTGTCTTTTGATTTATATAAAGAAAAGATTTTTGTTTGCTACCTTTTATTAAAAACATGTAAAAAGCAAACTTGATTTAAGAATTCAAGACAGCTGCACAGTTGCTATGCTGGTGGATCTGTTTTCCTTTTGATGGCAAATTAAAGAAACCAAGGCTTATCCCCACAAATTTGGGAGGTGCGTAATTTTGGGAAGGAAATTTTTAGGGAGCAGACAATGTATTTTGGGAATAGGGCCCATGTATGCTCCACAGTGCCCAAGAAAAAGCACCGGAAACATTTTTTTCGGAATTTCAGAAATGGAAATTAACATGCCTGTTTACTGGTAACCATTCAACATTAATTATGAAATTGAAATTTCATGACAAAGAAAAACAAAAACAAAGTCTAGAATGAGAATACATGTATGAATAACTGACAAATAACAATGACGATTGATGCACTGATGAATATGTAGTTGGGGAGTAAGCATTGAGGGCATATCACAGACAAGCTTTGTCATTAAGATTAACATCTCACAGCATTCGTTGTCATGTAAAAGAAGATCAGAAACTCATGTCACAACAAGAGAGATTTCAAACCCCTTACAAATCTACATTTACACAACTATATATACTAACTAGACTACCATCAACAACAAGTCCCTACTTAGGATCAATTACTGATCAGTCTTTAGATGAAAACTTCTCAGAGAATATCTTTGCTATTCTTTTGGTCTCTGCTGCAGTGGGAGGTTGTCTCCCTTTTGTGTGTATGGAGGAGAACTTCACTTTGTGGTTATTTGTAGTCAGTTTTCCCATTAGGTTGGCAGTAGCTTGTACTTTAGCAGCCTGTCTCTCAGGGTCAGGGTGCTGCAAAACAAAATTGATGTGATGGAAACCAGACTAGACTTATTCTTTTGTTGATATGCAACCCAGTCTTACCTTCATTACTTCAAAAAATGTTTTTTTTAACTTTTCAAGAGGACATCATGTCAAAGTTATTGCAAAATTGTAGCTGTAGCTACATGTTCCAGTACAAAATCTTCAATTACACAAATCCTTTCCACTGGGACCATTTTAACATTAATAAGAACACATAGTAGACAAGCTCATGCAATGTGAATGATTTCAAAAATCTTTGGATTTTCAATATGTAACATCATTATCCTGGTAAGATAAAAATGAACACACTGATCAATGCTAGTCAAGTAAGAGAACTAATACTTTGAAATAAGAATTACAACAATGACTTTTTTGCATTTATTGTTTCAACTAGGATGTCAAGTTAGTATGGTACAAATATTTTTTTTAAACACCATCAAAATTTAATATTAAGTGATTAATACCTGAAAATTTGAGCAACTGGAAAAAAATAATACACCCACAGAGGAACACAGAGAAAAACTGGACATACCTGCTGACTAGAAGATGGAAGCCCTGCTGTTACTTGCTGTAAGGCTTGCATAGATTCTGCCAAGTGTTGAGATGGAAGGAAAAAATTTGGCATTGACGATGGCTCCTGAAACCCATTTGGTAAATCATGTATTTCTCCATTTGGGAGACTACTGTAGCCATTCATATTTGTACTAGCTTTGTCAGGTTCACTGTAGCTCTCAGAGCTTTCAAAGTTTATTCCTTCATTTAACATTCTGGGAGAACGTGAGTGAGACCTTGACCCGTAAGAAGGTGACATTGACCTTTGTCCTTCCATTCTGGTATGAGGTTGTACTGGATCAGAAAAGAAGTCCTCTAACTCAGACACCACCTCTGAAAATACCTCCTTTGGTGATTTTGGCACAGAAGAAGAAAGAGGAACTTGGTCCTCAAAGTAATTTGACTGTGATTCATGAGAATGTCCAGAGGAATTCTTGGCTGAAAGCCTGTCACTTCCAGCTGATGATACACGGGAAGATTGTTTTGATCCTGAATTTTGCGTATTGTGACTACCAGAGTTCACGGATTCTAATTCCACGTCTTGCAGTAGACCCATGTTTGCTACAGCTCCATCTTTCTTGTGCCCATGTGAACTTTCTCCTGTATCAGATCTTGACCTATGCTGATCTTTCTGATCTCTCTCCTCGTCAGAAAACCAACTATCTTTCTCTATAAATGATGGTCGTTCTGTTAGTTGGAAATGTGGAGAGAGTTGTTCGTTTGGCAAAGACTCATTGTCTGATAGATCTAACACATTATCAGCCTCCCGGCTCTCAAATTTAGTCCGACTCAATTCCCGAGAATCACTAGCTCTAATATCAAATGGCATTGTCTGTCCATTTCTCACAAACTCTCGAGGTGATCCGTGCCCATTGCTGTCCATGTAAACAGAATGACCTGGGATACCTCCAAACTTGCCTGAAACATCATTTAACGTTCTAGGAACCACAACATTTTCCTCCTCATTACCAGATTCATCTTCGTTCTCCTGTTCATCCAAAATGTCCCGGTATTCCTGGTAGTATTGTTCATCCTCCTCTCCATTATTGCTGCCTGTGTCATCCTCATTTTCTGTGAACTCCTGAATCACACTCATTTCCTTCACATCGCTGTCCTGAGTCCTTGGAGTGATGTTCTTCACTGTTATCCCTACATTGTTCCTGTAACTACTGGCAGTGCTGTTTCCTTGTTCTCCCTGATAAGAGAATCCTAATGAAGCACTACTACTTCCACTCACATTCCTGTTTCTAGCATTAAAATTACTATCCTGTGTAAAGGTCAGGCCACTACCTGATGTTGAAGTATCCACCCTGATCTGATCTCGTGGAGTGTTCACTATGTTAAATCCCCCAGTTGACACTGATGTGTCGTCTCTCGGAGTGTAGCCCATGTGTATACCAGTGTCGCTGAAATTGTGTGCGTCTCTTGGTGTAGAACCAGAGCTTTTCTGTGCCTCCTGTGGAGTTGAACCATCCTGTCCAGTATTATCAAATTCACGAGGCGTTACTCCCATTCTCAGAGTATCCATTCTCTCACTACTTCTCTGAGAATCCAAAGCATCTTGGTATTTCTCACTAGACTGAGTTACAGAGAAGGCCCCCGAGTCAACAGCAGTCCGTGATGACTCACCTTCATTTGACCCTGTTAGCAGTAGCTCACTATCATTGGCTCTCAGAGTTGAGGTCAGTTGTAGGGTCGACAGTGGGGAGATAATCGACTGAATGGGAGCATTTGTCATGTGATCAGAGTCGTGTATTTCTGACACACTCCGTGAGGGATTTTTCACAGAGGGGGGAGAAACCAGCTTCTGCTTCAACTTTGATGTGATATCATCTAAATCTTGCATTTGTTTTCTGGAAAAGAATTAAAAAATCACGAATCAATTTTGATAAACAATCAGGTTTAACCGTTTGATTTGAAAATAAACTTGAGTAACCTCAAAGTTCAGTTGATAAGACATTAAAATATGACCTCTTCAAAATCAGCATTTCTTTACAGTAATTCTAGTGACTCAAGTTTGCAAACAGATATGGAAAAATATTGGTCATTGCTTAATAGACATGACAGTTTACCTGAGAGATGAGAACATGATGGAGCGTGAACAAGCAGCACTGTCATCCACCTTGATCTCGTTAAGACTTGGAGGTTGCCAGTGAGGTGACACCTCAGGGCGTGGTGAATCGTCTGAGGAATCCTGTGATGACATTTCATGGTTACGCAGGAACTGGCGGATATTCTCGCTCAGCTGATGCTGTAACTGTTCCTGATGTTCTCGCACTATGTCAAAGTTTGGCAGATTGGAGGAAAAGGGACGTAGATCTGTGGGAAGTGATATTGGTTGTTCTGAGGGCATCATGTTGTGGACGGAGGAGTTGACAGTAAACGGAAGACTGGAAGGTTGGTTGTAGAAGGATGTGGCCACAGGCTGGCCTGGGATGCCTCGTAAATACTGTGTTACATCATCCTGTGGCACAATGTTCACCTGAAAGGTAAGCCAGAATGTAATCAGTTCAATCATTCTCCTGACAACACCTCTTATATCTAAGTTATACACAAAAGATTGGTCAATATATAATCCTGTATTTAATACAAATTAGGAATAAAGAAATTATCATCATTCAATATCCAAAAAGATGCATGTTCACATATAAAACAAGATAATTTGGTGAATTACAGTCCCTCAATGACATATTACCTCACCAAGGTGAAATCATATCCTAAGTACTAAGTTCCCATGATTATTGGTGCAGAAGACAGGGCCCACACAAACTTTTATTCTTTATGTAGGTCAAAGGTCAAAATATAGGTCAAAGTAATCTGCTTTTGATAGGCGACACACCATCCATCTCACCAAGGTGAGCCCATATCCTAAGAATTATGTTTCCATGATTAGTTGTGTTGAAGAAAGGGTACGGACAAGTTGATGGAAGGATGAACAGATACAATGCAAAATTATATGGAAGTCCTCTCTGTTTCTCCAGTGGGGAACTAATAAATGAATATCAAAGACCAATTCAAATCATATGAATCAACTCAGTCGTTCCAAAAAAAATTTATACCATGATTAAGCTCTGTTATGTGTTTCTATGAAGTTTTTAAAAGATGTAAGTACTTATTATAGACAGCATCAACCAAGATAAGAGAAATACTGACCTTGATCTGACCACGACACTGGCCATGGAAGTCCATGACATTGTACCAGCCACAGATCTGTAGAAGTCCTGAGGTCAGTGGGGTCAGATCCACAGATACGAACCCTAGCACACGGTCAGAGGACTTGTCAGGATCCTTTGAAGCACTCTGGGGTTTATGCCAAACTTTGAATACCAGATTCTGAAGGTAAGGAAAAGAAATCTAGAACAGATCATCCTAAAGCTTTGGACTACGGTATCGTGATGTGACATAAAATATTGATCTTCTGTTGTAATATGAGAAGCAGTTGTTGCTAGTCTACTGTTTTTTTATGCAGAAAAATGCAGTAATACAGATCACAACAACAAACATAAATTCTTTCTGAATGTCTTTGTTTTTTGGATAATGTGGCAAAACTTACCTTGTTTTCCTGGTAGAGAAGCTCAGTGCTGAGCCGTGTCTCCTGCTGGTCATCCCAGACTGGGTTGTCTGAGTTGTAGAAGACCTGTGTGTAAGCAGGGCTGGCACTCTCAGATGTCTGGTAAGACACATAGGTATTTGGCAGATACTCCTCAGATCTGAAACAAAACAAATTCTTAACAAATGATACTTTAATCATAACTTGGATTTTATCGAACCAATCAATGCATCATTATCTATATTAAAAGTTTTCCTATCGGACATTCAGTATATATTCGACAATTTCCTTTTTTACCTATTTTTGTCGCTGATCAGCGGTAAATGCATGGCACGATCAACGGATATAACAACAGGGAAGTGTGGAACAGTGGAATCCTCCTCCACTCTCTCAAGGTGAGGTACATCTGCACTCGACTTTGACTTCTTTCTCCCCATCAGCTGATGGAAACTGTCATTCGGGTCGTATTCTTCATCTACTTCACTCTCTGATGACTTCTCGTCTGCCTCATTGTCAGATTGCTACCAAAAGCAAGTGTACATGCATATTATAAATCTGTATACAAGTTAAATGATTGTATGACACACACGTTTGAAACTTGCTGTATTTATGCTTGGAAATCTTCAAAATGGACTGAAGGTTACAAGTGTAAAATGGAAAGTTGATGCCACACAATTCTTCAAGGTTCTCTCAGTTTTAAAATGTTTCCATGTCATAATTTAAGTAACACATCTGGAGTTACTGCTCACTGTAAAAGCCAAACACTGTATCCATCATTTTAAAATGAAATCTGGTTATTTTGAAAATGATAAATCAGTCAACAGCACTTGCTTGTTTTAGCTATGTTGATATCAGTGTAACAAACGAATCAGATTTTAGACATGTCTGTGATATATGAGGAGGATGTTTAATGTAGGACAATGACACAATTCCATTAAGATATTTCATAATCTTGCTCCAGAACTCCCTCCCTGAATCTTAAATAAGCGTCCTGATCCTGTGAAACTGATATTCACCTTTAAGTTATATGTTTGATCTCACAGGTAGGGAAGTGTTCTTAAGCTTTTATTGCCATTCTGAATCTTTTGTTATGTGTTTTGATTCCACTTTCATTCCGTAAGTTCTTGTTATGTTTAAATCTTGTCAATTTCATACAGACAGACTGACAGACAGACTGACAGACAGATAGACTGATAATTAAATAGTAATACTGTTTTCAACGAGGAAATTCCTGGTAAAATTCAAAGTATTCGAAAGTACAAAAACCAAAATCATTTTCAGCATGGAAACTATGTATAAGACAGTACACACTTCTATCCATGTATGGGAAACAAGATCTTACCTTGGCGACACTCCCGAACTGTGGTTTAGCAGTTACATGTGCCCTAAGGAAGGCTCCCCCCAGACTAGCTGCGCCTGGTTTGTATAGCGGGAACATTCCACTAGAAAGAAAAGCAGGACAGTCAGACATGTTCACTGCAGATTAATACTTCCAAATAAAACAATAATTCTACAGAATTAATGTGTCTGGCTGTCACTGGTTTGACTCAGTAAAGTTGCTTAAGTGTCTAATATTCTTTCTGTTAACTCCTATGTCACTCTCTGATTGATTTCCTACTATTACACCAAGGGTTTAACAAAACAGTATGCTACTGCTGTACCTGATCCTGTGCTGTCTGCGACGCTGGTCATTGAGAGCGTCTAGTCCTATATACGTAGTGCCAATCAGTTTATCTCTGTGCTGTGTCTTCTGATTGCTCTCCTTCTTACCATAGCTCACCCACACCTGTACCTCCAGCTTTTCTTCCCGCAGGTACCTGTCAACACATCAACAGACATCACTGTACAAATACTGTCAACAGACATCACTGTACAAATACTGTCAACAGACCAACAGTACAGACATCACTGTACAAATACTGTCAACAGATCAACAGTATAGACATCACTGTACAAATACTGTCAACAGATCAACAGTATAGACACCACTGTACAAATACTGTCAACAGATCAACAGTATAGACATCACTGTACAAATACTGTCAACAGATCAACAATACAGACATCACTGTACAAATACTGTCAACAGATCAACAGACATCACTGTACAAATGCTGTCAACAGATCAACAGACATCACTGTACAAATACTGTCAACAGATCAACAGTACAGACATTACTGTACAAATACCTTCAACAGATCAACAGTATAGACATCACTGTACAAATACTGTCAACAGATCAAAAGACATCACTGTACAAATACTGTCAACAGATCAACAGTATAGACACCACTGTACAAATACTGTCAACAGATCAACAGTATAGACATCACTGTACAAATACTGTCAACAGATCAACAATACAGACATCACTGTACAAATACTGTCAACAGATCAACAGACATCACTGTACAAATGCTGTCAACAGATCAACAGACATCACTGTACAAATACTGTCAACAGATCAACAGTACAGACATTACTGTACAAATACCTTCAACAGATCAACAGTATAGACATCACTGTACAAATACTGTCAACAGATCAAAAGACATCACTGTACAAATACTGTCAACATATCAACAGACATCACTGTACCAATACTGTCAACAGATCAACAGACATCACTGTACAAATACTGTCAACACATCAACAGACATCACTGTACAAATACTGTCAACACATCAACAGACATCACTGTACAAATACTATCAACAGTATAGACATCACTGTACAAATACTGTCAACAGATCAACAGTATAGACATCACTGTACAAATACTATCAACAGATCAACAGTACAGACATCACTGTACAAATACTATCAACAGATCAACAGACATCACTGTACAAATACTATCAACAGATCAACAGACATCACTGTACAAATACTGTCAACAGATCAACAGACATCACTGTACAAATACTATCAACAGATCAACAGACATCACTGTACAAATACTATCAACAGATCAACAGACATCACTGTACAAATACTGTCAACAGATCAACAGACATCACTGTACAAATACTGTCAACAGATCAACAGTATAGACATCACTGTACAAATACTATCAACAGATCAACAGTACAGACATCACTGTACAAATACTGTCAACAGATCAACAGTATAGACATCACTGTACAAATACAGTCAACAGATCAACAGTACAGAGATCACTGTACAAATACTGTCAACAGATCAACAGTACAGACATCACTGTACAAATACTGTCAACAGATCAACAGTACAGACATCACTGTACAAATACTGTCAACAGATCAACAGTACAGACATCACTGTACAAATACTATCAACAGATCAACAATATAGAACCATACAGACAAACAATGCCAGTCCCTGATTAAAACTCTATGCCAGGTCAACAATGAACAAATATATATACAATAGTCCCTAATTAACAATTAATAAACAAATTAACAATTAGTAAACAAATTAACAATAAACACTACATTATTACATCAATTTGTACCCTAAGCTGTATCTTCAAAAATATATACTAAGAAAAACTTTGAGATCTTAACACCAGACAATGAACTTACCATTTAAATGGTGAGCTGATAGGTATCTGGAATTCGTGTTTGTGGTCACAGTGAGACAAAATGTAGCCCGTGTCCAATATACGACACTTGACACTCTTAGATACCACCGCACCTGTAATTGATATCAAACAAACACATATCATATTTATACTTTTGGACATTGGAAAGAAGAGTTCAAACTAGTTTCAATAAAATCCATTTAAAGAATTCTTGCAGTGAAATGGGTTAAATAGGTTTAGACAAAATCTAATGCAGAGATTCTCCACAAAATAACAAATGAGAACCAAAGTATGATCTTTGAAGACAGGCACAGAACACTGCTCTTTATACCTTTATATCATCACAAAAATACTGTAAAACACAGCAGCAGATTTAAAACAAATTCACTGAAGATAATATGTAATTACTGGGATGAGTGTAACTTAAACACACTTACTCTTATCATAAAGTTTATATCGGACGTAGCAACGGGCTGTTTTGTCAAGATTGGTTTGCCCAGCTATAAGGGCGTTCTGCAGAGGGAAGCTTACTTGGTCCATACAAACAGTGATCTGGTGGTACTGACCGCATCCTTCATCTGTAACAAGGCACATGATCATTCATTTATGACCAAGCACAGAATTATTTATCTGTAACTCTGCACATATACATTCACTTATTTGAAAGCACACATTTACTTAATAATTATCAAGCATATATTCCATCTCTAGGACACTGCCTCATTAGGACACTAACAATCAGATGACATTTATATCAGTAATTAATGCCACAACCGAAATGTTTTTATTATTTATATGTCATTTTTGTAGCTCTGGGGAATAGGGTTGTTTTTAACATTGATCATAGAAAAGTAACATCTATGTCTTGCTCTGTTCCTTCTTTTAGGTGGCATTCATAGTCCCATTAAACGCCATAAGAAACTGACAAATTAACTATGAAGCACCTGTGTACAATATTGTTCAATCACTAAATGATCATGGGTACATTCTTTTGTGGTCTAAACCAAACAACATTTCAGATGGTAAAAATACTTTCATGGATACCATAACTATACACCTAATAGTTTTATCTGAAGCCTTCATCCTGTTGCTTTTTGATATCAGAAAAAGGAAAAAAAAAAAAAGAATTTGATGCACATTTACGGTGTGAAGTATACTATTTTTCATCAACACAAGAATAATGAGTATTGAAAGACAATTAATTCACAGCTATATCTGATGTATGTACCATCACTCTGCCAGTCTTCCTCATCCTCCACATCAAGGTCGATGGGTGACCAGCCCACCCCTCGAGCGGCATGGATCACTCTGTCACGATCATTGTGGTGTGCAAACTTGACCACCAGCTCAACTCCACCAACCACTCGTTCCAGACCTTGGTTACAAGGTACGGTCCTGTCCTCGTCATCCTCCGTGTACTTGGCATCCTGCTGCCAGCCAACCTGAGGGAGATTTACAGCAAACCACCCACTGATACCTGAAAATTACAGAACAATGTACAGACTACTCATCCAAAAAATTATTACAAGAAAACAAGCTGGTAAATAAAAGTAATGACATTGAGTGCACATCCTTACCTGTACGGTTGGTGAGGAGGGCAGCAAGGGGCAGTGTGGTAGTTCCCAGTAATACATCTTGTGTTTTCTCCACTAGTCGTCGACCTTGGACCTCAGAATTGGTCTGTTGTGCTATCTGCCTGTCTAGATCTGCAAACACATTCAAACAAAACTTAAATAAATTTCGACTTTCAAATTAAGTCCTGACAAATGACATTCTCTTAAATGACTGTTCTGCAAGTGAAATTTACCAATATTTTTAAAACTTAAGCTGAGAATGGGTTTTTTAATGATTGAAAGCTGGAATAATATTATCTGACCACAAAATGCTTTTCAGGTAGAAGAAATGATTGTATGAATTGTTTTTCTTTTTTCACAACCATGCCTTGTCCTGGGATCTGACAATTAGCATTTCCAACCAGAGAAAAGTCCTGCTGCCTAACAATTAGCATTTCCAACCAGAGAAAAGTCCTGCTGCCTGACAATTAGCATTTCCAACCAGAGAAAAGTCCTGGGATCTGACAATTAGCATTTCCAACCAGAGAAAAGTCCTGCTGCCTGACAATTAGCATTTCCAACCAGAGAAAAGTCCTGGGATCTGACAATTAGCATTTCCAACCAGAGGAAAGTCCTGGGATCTGACAATTAGCATTTCCAACCAGAGAAAAGCATTTCCAACCAGAGAAAAGTCCTGGGATCTGACAATTAGCATTTCCAACCAGAGAAAAGTCCTGCTGCCTGACAATTAGCATTTCCAACCAGAGAAAAGTCCTGGGATCTGACAATTAGCATTTCCAACCAGAGGAAAGTCCTGGGATCTGACAATTAGCATTTCCAACCAGAGGAAAGTCCTGCTGCCTGACAATTAGCATTTCCAACCAGAGAAAAGTCCTGCTGCCTAACAATTAGCATTTCCAACCAGAGGAAAGTCCTGGAATCTGACAATTAGCATTTCCAACCAGAGAAAAGTCCTGCTGCCTGACAATTAGCATTTCCAACCAGAGAAAAGTCCTGGGATCTGACAATTAGCATTTCCAACCAGAGAAAAGTCCTGCATTTCCAACCAGAGGAAAGTCCTGGAATCTGACAATTAGCATTTCCAACCAGAGGAAAGTCCTGCTGCCTGACAATTAGCATTTCCAACCAGAGAAAAGTCCTGCTACCTGACAATTAGCATTTCCAACCAGAGGAAAGTCCTGCTGCCTGACAATTAGCATTTCCAACCAGAGAAAAGTCCTGGGATCTGACAATTAGCATTTCCAACCAGAGAAAAGTCCTGCTACCTGACAATTAGCATTTCCAACCAGAGGAAAGTCCTGCTGCCTGACAATTAGCATTTCCAACCAGAGAAAAGTCCTGGGATCTGACAATTAGCATTTCCAACCAGAGGAAAGTCCTGGGATCTGACAATTAGCATTTCCAACCAGAGGAAAGTCCTGGGATCTGACAATTAGCATTTCCAACCAGAGGAAAGTCCTGGGATCTGACAATTAGCATTTCCAACCAGAGGAAAGTCCTGGGATCTGACAATTAGCATTTCCAACCAGAGAAAAGTCCTGGGATCTGACAATTAGCATTTCCAACCAGAGGAAAGTCCTGGGATCTGACAATTAGCATTTCCAACCAGAGGAAAGTCCTGGGATGTGACAATTAGCATTTCCAACCAGAGAAAAGTCCTGCTGCCTAACAATTAGCATTTCCAACCAGAGGAAAGTCCTGCTGCCTGACAATTAGCATTTCCAACCAGAGGAAAGTCCTGCTGCCTGACAATTAGCATTTCCAACCAGAGAAAAGTCCTGCTACCTGACAATTAGCATTTCCAACCAGAGAAAAGTCCTGCTGCCTAACAATTAGCATTTCCAACCAGAGAAAAGTCCTGGGATCTGACAATTAGCATTTCCAACCAGAGAAAAGTCCTGCTGCCTGACAATTAGCATTTCCAACCAGAGGAAAGTCCTGCTGCCTGACAATTAGCATTTCCAACCAGAGAAAAGTCCTGCTGCCTGACAATTAGCATTTCCAACCAGAGGAAAGTCCTGCTGCCTGACAATTAGCATTTCCAACCAGAGAAAAGTCCTGCTACCTGACAATTAGCATTTCCAACCAGAGAAAAGTCCTGCTGCCTGACAATTAGCATTTCCAACCAGAGAAAAGTCCTGCTACCTGACAATTAGCATTTCCAACCAGAGGAAAGTCCTGCTGCCTGACAATTAGCATTTCCAACCAGAGAAAAGTCCTGGGATGTGACAATTAGCATTTCCAACCAGAGAAAAGTCCTGCTACCTGACAATTAGCATTTCCAACCAGAGAAAAGTCCTGCTACCTGACAATTAGCATTTCCAACCAGAGAAAAGTCCTGCTGCCTGACAATTAGCATTTCCAACCAGAGAAAAGTCCTGCTACCTGACAATTAGCATTTCCAACCAGAGGAAAGTCCTGCTGCCTGACAATTAGCATTTCCAACCAGAGAAAAGTCCTGGGATGTGACAATTAGCATTTCCAACCAGAGAAAAGTCCTGCTACCTGACAATTAGCATTTCCAACCAGAGGAAAGTCCTGCTGCCTGACAATTAGCATTTCCAACCAGAGAAAAGTCCTGGGATGTGACAATTATCATTTCCAACCAGAGAAAAGTCCTGGGATCTAACAATTAGCATTTCCAACCAGAGAAAAGTCCTGCTGCCTAACAATTAGCATTTCCAACCAGAGAAAAGTCCTGCTGCCTGACAATTAGCATTACCAACCAGAGGAAAGTCCTGGGATCTGACAATTATCATTTCCAACCAGAGGAAAGTCCTGGGATCTGACAATTAGCATTTCCAACCAGAGAAAAGTCCTGGGATCTGACAATTAGCATTACCAACCAGAGGAAAGTCCTGGGATCTGACAATTAGCATTTCCAACCAGAGGAAAGTCCTGGGATCTGACAATTAGCATTTCCAACCAGAGAAAAGTCCTGGGATCTGACAATTAGCATTTCCAACCAGAGGAAAGTCCTGGGATCTGACAATTAGCATTTCCAACCAGAGGAAAGTCCTGGGATCTGACAATTAGCATTTCCAACCAGAGGAAAGTCCTGGGATCTGACAATTATCATTTCCAACCAGAGGAAAGTCCTGGGATCTGACAATTAGCATTTCCAACCAGAGGAAAGTCCTGGGATCTGACAATTATCATTTCCAACCAGAGAAAAGTCCTGCTGCCTGACAATTAGCATTACCAACCAGAGGAAAGTCCTGCTGCCTAACGATTAGCATTTCCAACCAGAGGAAAGTCCTGGGATCTGATAATTAGCATTTCCAACCAGAGGAAAGTCCAGGGATCTGATAATTAGCATTTCCAACCAGAGGAAAGACCTGGGATCTAACAATTAGCATTTCCAACCAGAAGAAAGTACTGGGATCTGATAATCAGCATTTCCAACCAGAGGAAAGTCCTGGGATCTGATAATTAGCATTTCCAACCAGAGGAAAGACCCGGGATCTAACAATTAGCATTTCCAACCAGAGGAAAGTCCTGGGATCTGATAATCAGCATTTCCAACCAGAGGAAAGTCCTGAGACCTGATAGGTACTGCTACTAACCAGAGGACAGTCCTGGGACCTGACAATTAGCATTTCCAACCAGAGAAAAGTCCTGGGATCTGATAATTAGCATTACCAACCAGAAGACAGTTCCTTGACTTGATAATTAGCACTGCTAACCAGAAGACATTTCTTTGACCTGATGATTAGCATTATCAAACAGAGGACAGTCCTGAGACCTGATAGGTACTGCTACTAACCAGAGGACAGTCCTGGGACCTGATAGGTACTGCTACTAACCAGAGGACAGTCATGGGACCTGATAGGTACTGCTACTAACCAGAGGACAGTCCTGGGACCTGATAGGTACTGCTACTAACCAGAGGACAGTCCTGGGACCCGATAGGTACTGCTGCTAACCAGAGGACAGTCCTTGGACCTAATAATAAGTGCCACTAACCAAAGGATGGCCATGGGACATGATAATGGATGCTACTTACCAGAGGCCAGTCCAGGGACCTGGTGCCACATCTCCAATGTAATCTCAGCTGTCTCTAGGATCTCAGCCAGAGCCAGGGCATCATTGTCCGCTTCTGTCCACAACAAAGGACAAGGAAAGTCCATGTGGTGAGAAAACTCCGGTGCAAATGTCCTGGCAATGGTCCTGGTTATCCTCTCATCCTGTGGAACAAGTAAATGAAGATGTCATTACAAACACCATTCTTTGTCTTAGGAAACTACATTTTTTATTTTAGTGACTCAGAATTTTTGTATATTTTACACAAAATCTTACTTTCCTGAATTTTGAATTTTTAGGTGTAATTCAATTTAATATACACTGCCTCCAAACAACAGTAAAACATTAATTTGACTTTGACTTGTGTTTATAATAATTCAAATTGTTCAATTTTTTGAAATTCAATTCATTTATCTGTGAGAATTCCAAAAATACTCAAGGGAGGGTACTTTGCACTTAATGTCATGTAAAGGTACCACACAGGCTAGTTCATACAGAAAATTTCTAGCATTGGGCAGCATGTTTCATGTACAAAAGAAATATATGTTGTGCTCATATCCTCCTATCTGAATGAGTTTTATGAATTCAACTGTTGCTGATTTTAGAGAATGTACAATTAATATATCATACCTCCTTGGACAAGAATGACATTCGAATCTTCACGTAAGTGTTCACGCCCACCTCTGCAGGGTACTGCATCCCAGAGTCCAGGCGAGCAATAGCTTCAGCTGCGGCCTGTAAGGAAAGATAACTCTATCACATCTCAAACCAGAACAAATTCAGACAGCAGTAATGATGTATGTAAGTATAGGCAATATGTGTCTCATTTGTTTTATTTCATTAATTGGGGTGGTTTTTTTTGACATAATGTGAGGACAAACCAATATCATGCCAACATCTGACATTTTCATGAGAAGCAACTCAAAGTATCCATTCGTTGGATAAAATTTCAACTAAAAAGAGCAGAAAGATGACAGCATTTGATCATTTGTTTATCAACACACCAACTGTAAAGGATTCATTATGCTTAAGGCACCTAAGACATGTGAAATACTCAATGTTATACAAATCATATATTACTGAACTAAAACTTCAGTGATTTACTAAAGACACATATAGGTATACCTTGAGTCCTGAAGCCCTGATGACACCAACAGATACACAAATCTGGGTCCCCGACAGATTCTTATTGGCTGCTTGACTCTGCTCATTCTGCGAAGGAAAAATCAAACCTCAGTATATTCCTTAATAATATTCACCTAGTATTCTTATCCCAACTATTGGACTAGAGTGACGATTGGACCAAGTAATGTACTACTATTATATAACATTAAGCTTTAGATCTCCTAATCCTACATACTCACTTTTACAGATCTAGATTTTCATATCTAAAAGGCAAATCATTCAGAGTTTTAGGTCCATAAACATTTATTATGAAATTTATGCTGAACTATTTTCGGTTTCATCACTTTGTCAAGGACTGTTTTTTTTTTTAACTTTAAAGCTAAGGAAAGATCTACTGATTTTATTGATCTTTCTATTGAGCTTTGACAAAGCCTTTACAAAGCCTTTCGAGGCTTTTATCATTATCTGCAGGTCTGTATGCATGAAATGTTACATTTTAAATTCGACAAATCGTTTTTTCCACACAAATGAGAGCAGCCCTGTACAAGTTTTTCTGCACAGAGAAATGTAATGATTCCAAACATTTTTGAGATTTCATTTGCAAGTTTCAAAGTAGGCTAACTACAGTATGATAGTAAGGTAAAATGTATTTGTTCTTGTTATCTGTACTTGAAGACATATATCATGATATAAATGAGATGAATTATTACCGACCTGTAAAGTCTGAGTTCTGTAGTGAACAGTAACATCCATTAGTCCAGATTCTGTCATCTGTAACAGATAAAATAATTTGCTCAATAAAGTTGTATTGAATATGCCTAAAACGTCTGTGATATCAGGATGCATTTCTTGCTCGGAGGGACGTCATGGTAAAAAATATTAATTTTGTTATCAATTGTACAGGTGTTTTTATACTTCTAGTTACGTTTCTATGTAAAGCACTGAAATTTGTTATGGGTGTGGCAAATGTTATTTGATAACTCTAAGTCAATTCAGAATTAAGTGACATTAATCGCCAACATTGTTGCAACCAATTCAGGAAGGTAGCCATTTTTCTTACAGGCAGCAGCATTTGTGGACACGTCATCATATATGATGAAAAAATTACATATCCAGATAGTTGATCAACAGCTATTTCCTTTTTATGATTACCGATTAACCTTTTCTTTTATGTGCGTATTTCAGCGAAAACCAATCGTTATTGTTCATAAGGTAATACCCTTATACATATGCGATAATAATAATAAAAATAAATCAGTAAAAAAGCCAGCTTTAACATTGATATCACTTTTAACAACGTAAGCATAAGATGATACAGTGTACTAAACAAATCCAAAAGATTGGTGAAGGACATTGTCTTCTACTGTAAATGACCAAGTTAATGTTCAAGGTCTCATATTTATGAAATGTGGTGATAAGTAACTTAAGATTTCACCCTAGTATCTGCTGTATATTGCTTAGTTACCTGTACAACATAGGTGTATGTTGTATATATAATTTACCTGAGATTGTTTCCCTCTTTCTGATAATTCTGTATCTACTGCCACCTGTTTCAGTGGGAGGCCAAAGGATTGTACTGATGGCTCCCCTCTCTTCTGCATGGTTACCATGGCACACAGCTTGGCAAGTGGCAAACTTGTCTGAAATTCAAAACATCATGTTGGTAATGTCAATAGAATATCCTACAGCCTAGCATCAACTAAAACACAGCCTAGCATCAACTAAAAGACAAATGTAATTCTATTAAACCATTTATACATAACAACTCTTTACGCATGAACCACACCAATAAGGATATTTTTAAGTATTTATTTACATACAACACCATCAAAGATGAATAAGAAAGATGAATGTTTTTAAATTTATCCCATCAATTCTTGAAACAGCCCTGTAACAAACCAACATCGACTGATGACAGTAATTATGGTTCTTACAGCAAGACTATAACATAACCTTTGTGTCAGTGACATTTTTGTGACTTTGATGTGACCATATTTTTACTATGATGTGACTATATTAAGAGTATGATGTGGGTGATAATATTGTGACTTTAATTGTGACTAAGATGGGACTAAGATGAGACTTTGATCTAACTACTGTGGATTCATTTATTTTCGTTGGGTTCAATTTTCGTTGTTTCTACAAATTAGACAGTTTCGTAAGATGGGAAAAAAATAAAAACGTTAGAATTTTCTCTTTTTGCTTCCAGTCGAAATTTTTTCTGTTTGTATTAAGGCTAAGACAAGAATAAAAGAACTTTTTTTTCAAGATGGCGTCCTGTGTTTTTATAACGCTGTTTACAACAGTCTCGCATTAATATCAAACCACAAATCAGTATATATCCTGGCGTGTAATCAATCGTAATTATCAGAAACAATTGTTTTCAGCAGTCATATGAAAACACCACGCGTATCGATTGGACCATGTGTGTATGCATTATTAATAATTTGGACTATGACATAATATTGTTTTAGCATCAATATGTTTAATAATATATAATTATATATTATTTTATCATATATGACATTTTCCTGAGAACTGTAAATATGATATGACTACTGTGACCAAAACATGACTATATTGTGACTATGACAAAACATTATTTTGTGACTAGACATGACATTATTGTAGCTGTGACGTGACTGGTGATAAGAGGGATGTACCTTAGCTATACACTGGTCCCTGATGTTGGGATGGTAATACCGGCACCAAACCTCAAATGGAATACCTCCACTGCCTCCTCCAGCGCCCGCACAAGCTGTCAAAGCAGAAAAGTAAACTCCTCATACATGATATTGGGCAACAGACAAAACAGAGTTGATGTAAACTATTGGGTACATCTTGTTACGTAACAAATGATATAATGTGACTATACCATTACAGGTTGGATGACGTACCTGTTAGTAACTCTCTCTGTACAGGAGTTGTCTGGGCAAGCACTATTCTGTGACGTGTAATATCATTGAAAGTGGGATCAGGAATGCAAAGAGTTGTAGCTGTCCGGAATGACTTCATACTGGGTATACCTGGATTATTAAGTGAAACCATTGGTAATTAATCATTTTATTTCAGAACGTGATGAGTATCCCTGCTCCTATGCAAATTAGTACAAGTGTAATTGTTTCACGTGTTGATTAGGAAATAAAATAGAATTAATATTGGATGTGACAGAAATTGATAACAACATAATCTCCCCTCCTTCCTTTAAAATGTTGATAACATTAAAACTGTATCATCGCTGCATCATCTTACTTTTCCTTTCATTTTTATTGAATCTGAGTGAAAACCTTCCTTAAAATTTTTCAATTAAAATACTAACTAAAATTGTTTTTTTTTTTTTTACAAATTTTTAAAATGAAATTAAAACATAATGTGATTTATTTCATGTCAAAAGCTCAAATTCCCAATTAACAACAATAACAGAAACAACAGGTACTCCTAATAATCTATCACGAAGAAAAGTGATAGGTCAATTGCTGGTATTGCAGTAGTAGAAAAACTAGCAATTACTTTACATTCAAGATACATATAGACATAATGCTTTCTGCTCAACTAGCAGTATTACTTTGTCACTTCTGTTCCCTGAATTTACCATTTTTGGCAGGTGATGAAGCAGGCTGGTCCGAGTGTTGCTGTACAGGAAAATGGTACTGTATAAAACAGTCAGCCTCACCCCAAATCATGTTGTCAAACAGTGCAAGGCCTCGGATACCTTCTATCACCACTTCAAAAATGTGTTCCACTGTCAAAGCACCAAGCAAAATATTGTACCTCATTTATATCATCAAAATCTTAAAACAATTCCTCCAAATAGCTTACAACAGCGCTTCATTGATATTCTTTTAATCAAATAGTTGATTTTTTTAACAGTCTATTTTATCATTCTTATTGCAAATCTGAAATTTTTGAAATTCTGAACTTTCATTTTTATTTACAGCTGTAACAAACTATTTGCCTGGGTTCTTACCTGAATTATCTGCTCTGGACTGACTATATACAGGACCATGACTGCCTGGTCTCATCATATCCTCTCTAAAGTACAAAAGAGTTCAGTTTATCTCTTGATACAATTTGACATTCCTACAGTACAAACTTTACCATAGCTTTAGCAAGAAATACTACTTAGTAAATTATTAACACCCCCTCCCCCATACAGAGTGAGAGGCTATCATAACATGGGACAATGTGAATCTTGAAAGATTCATGTAACTAACAGTTCTTTAACATCACCCCATGCTGTATTCACAAAATCATGATCTTTCAACATCATTGATCAGAAATTGATCAAAGATTGAAAACAAAATTACTGCACTGAATTTTAAGTTTCGTAGAGACATGAGTGGTGTGTCTTTTGATATCAGCGATATATCTAGGATGTTTCATCCAGTAATGGCCAGTCTTAATCATGCTAGAGTGTAGTGGACATGTTTATGAATTGTCCAACTCCACAGATAACAAACCTTTCCAGGAAGTGTTGTGGTCGTTCTGGTGGCCGCAGTATTGGACCATCTAGTTTGAGCCGCTGTAGTTCTGTAACTTGTTCTCCAGAGCCCATGGCCAACAGGACTTTGATCTGACCAAACTGTACCCCACTCAGAGGATCCACTATGGGCAGGTAATTGTCCACAGATATCACAGGATACTTGATGAAAAAAAAAGGCAGACAATCATGCAGAAATAGTAAATAACAGTACTCCAGGCATCTCATTTAAGAATTCCCACTCCAATTACTGGAATTGAAATTAATTTGAGTCAAACTATCTTGAAGTTAATTCATAGCAAACATTCAAGTTATAATAACTTATTTATTGTTGTAGATTTAACACTGGATAAACGTGACTTAATTTTGACTCGTCTCCCATAACAGAAATAAAGGTGTCATTTCATTACTTTACCTGTGATTTCAGTAATGCGTTAGATATCTTGTTGTCTCGGAAGGACATATAAAACTGATGTAAGCTCAATTTGACGATTCCAATCAACTGTAAACAATACAATATAAACAATTGTTACATATTACATGGAATCTAGTCCAATATAATCTGATATTTTAATGGTTCTAAATATTTCTAAAAATTAGGACTAAATTTAACAATGAATACTTTTACAAATCTTGCATTCCTTTGTCCACTGAATCTGCCTTAGAAGACAATTGATGTTTGCTGTTACTTGATTCATTAGGTGGTACAAAAAGTAGGTTGTTTCCACAGGAGAAAAAAACCGTTTCCTCTGACAGAGTATTATTTCCCAGAAACATTCCTATATATGGTTTCAGAAGGTCAGAAGTTACCTTGTCATTTTCAGCAGAAGTTTTCTTGTCCCAGACTTCTACCACCATAAAGTTGTTCCTCATTCTCTCCAATAACGACCCAGACAGTAACACAGGGGCAATCTGTGAACACAGAATTATACATCTGAGTGCACTAATATGAAAATGAATGTAGAATTATTTTATCTAGTATCAAAACATATCCCTAGCTGTCTATATGAATAATATTCCTTTCTTTTTTATGAATTGTATATTCAATAAAAAAATTAGTCCAGATTTTATTTAGTCACTTGAGGGTTTCATCTAAAATGGTCATAAATAATTTCCCTATTTCCAAAGAACTTCCTCTATGCACATCCATTCTTTCTACTCTAGTAGGAATATATAGATAATGAAACACAGACCTGAGCAAAGTTGAACTGGGGCTCAAATGTTCCCCAACAGACATTGGAGTGGACAGCATCATTGCACCAGAACATCCGACACACAAGGTAGGTATTTCTGGTGTTGGTGTCCCGAGCCTTCATTCCTACAACATCAAAGTTAAAGTTTATTTGCACAGAAAATTCACTGTTCCCCAATATAATGTGATCATGTACACAAACATCAAAGATATCTAGAATGGTTAACCTCAGAATGAATGAAATGACTGCAACCTCACAAATACCTGAATGTTCTAACCATACTTCAGTATCTCTTGGTTAGTAACAAAAATGTATCAATCTTAAAAACAAATCATTCAGAGATTGAAAAATTATTGTTCACAAATATTGAACCAATCTGCAGAAAAAACTTCAGTTCAATGCAATTTTAGCAAATAGAATTAACAGAGAAAATGCATGTCTAGTTGAAAACTGTTTATGACTAAATAAAGTTTTGAAAGAATTATTCATCACAATGAAGTACTTTCCTAATATCTAAGTAATTTGCTCAAAAGGGATATTTTTTTAAGTGATTCGTAGCTAATAATGAGTCTAACGCTGACCTGTTGTAGATAAGGCATGCGGCTGAGGTGGGAAGACAGGATGTCGTTTGATGGAGGACAGGGATGGAATACCCTGAATTGTGATGTTATGACCTTCTGGTATCAGCAGTAAAGTGTGCAGAGTCATCGCCTGTTTAGAGTGATTACAAGACTGGCATGGTCATATGTTACACAACAGAATATGATAACCATTCTTGAAATATAAGACATTCACCAAAAAGAGTGATACAGCGATATAATAACAGATGGATAAATCTGTAAATATCTTTTACATATTTTTGACATAATTTTTTTTTAAAGATTTCAGCACTTGAACTATTATGCTGAATTATCGTAGCACTAATTTTAGTTCCCTTTTTTTGCATGATTTATATCATAGGTGCACTCATCATGTTTTTGTCAAAACTTACGGTGTGCTAAAAAATGAGTCAAATCAAAAGATTTTGCCTCTGAGAGTATCTTTGCTATACCAATTATAACTACAATATGTAAGCAGTAACTCACAATCATCAGAAAAAATACAATCTCTTCAAAAATTGTTTCTACCAATTACAATTGAACTTACCTCTGCATTGGCATGTGGGGGCATGTGGTAAGACTCCAAGCTAGGAGGCTGGGATGGACCAGGGGCAGGTAACAGTGAGCCCAGACTGCTAGTCTGTGGATCTGTAAAAAAAGGGAATAAATAATTGTTTTCACTGCCTGCGTAGTTGTTGTAATCCTATTACAACACAAATTCACATGACTCCACAAGTACAGTATATACTTCTCACAATTCCATCCAGCTTTGTGCTATAAGCAAATGAGATAGATCTGAATTATTTCACTGTGGTGAATTTCTGAAATATTGCTAAAATGTTTTTCAATGTCAAGTTTGCATTGTGATGTTCTACACAGAAAATGAGAGATAGGATTTGGTAGTTTTAATTTTACCTGAATGTGATGTACAGTTTGGTAGACTAACCTTTACCTGTGTGTGAGGTAGGGTTCTGTAGCACCATTGAGGACAGCTGAGTATTTTGAGCACTAGGTATGAAGTCAGGGGGTAGTGGCGGTTTGTCTAGTTGTACAGGTGGGGGAGGGGGAGGTGGCACCGTCTGAGGTATTGGCACAAACTTGGCCTTTCCACTCATTTCTGCTAGTTTGGCTCTGGCCAGGGCTGAGGAGAAATCTTTGCTGTCTGATGCCAACTCTATAGACACCTGCATTATAAAAACTTTTCATCATTAACTTGAAAACACACGTATGCCCCTAATTATGTACAGTATCTTCTGGCGGTATCAGAGATGGACAGACAGTTGAAAGATATAAAAAGTAAATATATACTGCCCCAGCTTTGTTTTAGAAGAAGTAATGTTTCAAATACTCCACAATTTCTTATTATGACATATTCATTTATATCAACAATACAATGAGATACAATGCTCCCTGAAACATCCTACAAACCTTGAGAGAACCGTAGTAGGAGTCTAGACTGCCCCGGAGAGAAGAATTGAAGGAGGAGTTACGTCCACTCTCCCGAATCTCTAGCTCTCGACCCACTTGTAGGTTGTCAGACCGTAGAATGCTTTTGAGGGGGATCCCACAACTACCTACCAACGTCGGCTACAAAAATTAAACAAAGGATGTGTTAAATTATATTATCAATTCATACAGTATCACCTATATAATGATGTCATACAGCATCAACTATATAATGAAGTCATACAGTATCACCCATATAATGACGTCATATAATATCACCTATATAATGACGTCATACAGTATCACCTATATAATGACGTCATACAGTATCACCTATATAATGACATCATACAGCATCACCTATATAATGATGTCATACAGTATCACCTATACAATGAAGAGAAGAAGTCATTTAAATATTTTAGCATATTTGACCCCTGTGAACTTTAAATTAGGTCAAGGTCATTCTTTTTATCAAACTTGTTAGTCCTTCATCCCATCATACTACAGGCCTAGTTTCAGCACCCTGGGCCTTTTAGTTATTGAGGAGAAGTCATTTGAATGTGAAATTTACAAATGACGGATGGCTCACAGCATTCGGGTCAGATGACATAAACATCCAAGCAAAATGTGTTAAATGGAAAAGTGATGATCAGTAAATTTTGCTTATGTAGCATTTGTTATTGCCTTTAAGACATATCTGTTTGATAAATCTACAATACACAGATAAGACTTACCACTTTCTGTCCTGCGGTACGCGAGAACAGCTTAAAGATGAGGGCAGACTTCCACCATTTTTCCACAGCACTACCATCAAACATGATGGGAAACACAGATCTATGGTTAAAGCTGACCACTAAATCAAACAAAACACCATTATTATATACTTTAATGTTTGAAAAATAAAATATTCACAGTGTTCATTACTGATGTACTTATATTCCATATTACTCGGACATAGGAGTATGTATTTGATTTCAGTCATTTTTTTAATTTCCAAATGGCACAAAAATTTTGCAGTAAGTTTCCTCTTTTATCTAAATATTGGTCTAATATTCATAATTTACCTCCATCCTTAACATTTTTGGAAGCCACACGCATCACCTCCGTTGCCATAGCATTAGGCGAGTACTTATCTCTGGACGTGGCCACAACAGGAAACTGATACTCAATGAAGTAGGTCCTGCAAAAAGTATAAATCTTTCTGTGTCTATGCTGCCTGTCATCAATTTTCCACATGTACTGATTTTTTTTCTGTAAGAGCTACCATTCTACAAAGCCATAATTCACTGAGCTTCTTTTTCTTTTTTTGTAAGGATTGAGATATGAAACTTTTATTCTTCCGAAAGTGTTTTGTTAACAATATTTTCCCTGATCGATAATTAAGAATTCTGTGAATCTTAATGCAAATGTCGAAATACTAAAAGCAGAACTGTCAGTTATAATACTCGATGAATGACATGATCAACTTACACTGATTTTTTGGCTTTAGGAGAGGGTTTCGGTGGTTTTCCTGCTTTACCCTTCCTCTTGGAGGAATTGAGATCCTGGGCGCCTCCTAGATATAGAGAATCTACAATCACCCTTGCGACATGAACCCTCCCCAGCAGTGTTAATCGCTCCACACTGAGGCCATTGCCTTGATGTCGCTTCACAGGCTTTTCTGTATGGTAAAAATAACACAAGTCTATGAACTAATTTGTAATAAAAATATCTGAGTACCTTGCATTTATTTCTTCACTACAGGTAAGGTTGTGCATGTGATAATCAGTAGGATATACAAATTTATCTTATCTACATCTTTGAATTTTACATTATAATCTAACAATACATTTATTAATAAGCAACAATTTATTTTACTTCAGAATATTGTTTCAATTACATAGCATCATTTTACACTTTCATCTATCTGCTCTTTGACATTAACATTAAATCTTTATTTGGAAAATTTTATTTGAAACTAATGAGGCATTCTGGACCACTTTGAAATAGAGGAAATTGTAAAATAATATATGAAGTAGCTATATTCAGACGTTACAAGGCATGACTTTTAAATAGCATTATAATGTCCAATTTATAATAAAGAGAAAAAAAAGATAAAAAATGACCTTCCTCTGGTTCATCCAGATCTGAGGCAGGCATGTCAAATGAAACTTGTGAGACCTCTGAGCGTGCAGTCATTAATTCACTATCACTAGCCTCACTAGCACTACTTCGTGCACTACTACGTGACCGTCTCCTCTTCTTCCCTCCCTTAACTTTCGTTTTCACACGAGACCTTCGCTTAGGCACTTTTAATGATACATCATCTTGTTTCTTCTTTTTCTTCTTTTTAACCTCCAACTCCTCAGATGGAGGAGGTTCTGGAAACTCGAGGCTAGTGACAGATGATCGTCTTGAAGGAGGCCTCTGGAATACCAAAAGGACAATTTCATGAGGTTTCGAATTTTTGTCATATTACAGAGATCCACATAAAAATATAGTCTGACATCTCTTGTGAACAATTTATACCCAACTTTTGGTAAAGCTACAATTTTCTAAGCTTTTCAAGATGAAAATCAAAGGAACCCTCAAAATGAATTTCCACATGTCTCACAATCGATTTATTTGAAGTTTAAACATGCAGATATCAAACTATTTCCATAGAATTTTTAATGACCATTTATGCATTCCTTAAATAAATAGCAGCTCCTGATAACATCTTGCAAAATTTGAAGGTTTAACATGTTCTAGGCTCCTTAATAATGTCTACTAGGCGACCCCATTTACAGATTCCTGTAGCCTAGTTATAATTTTTATTTACACAGTACATAAGCCTGCTCTTCTACGTATACTTGCTAGTAACATTTATTATGACCATAATTTCTCCTGATAGAATCTGAATATGACGTATAAATTTCTTGCTTGTCATGCAGTTTGGTGAAAGTGAATTCAACTTTGCATTGTTGTCACGGTTGCAAGTCAATGTGCTGCTTTAACTGGCCTACCTAAAATTATGAGCAATAATTGTATATCATCATAAAACATGAGCTACAAGTACTTGGGTTAATACGTTTCAGTACACATGCAAACTTCCTCGTTAACTCAGTTGTCCTTTTTCTGTTATAGTATCTTATTTGATGTTCAACCTCTAAATGTATCACTTTTAAATGATCAATCATTTCATGTAGATAGACAGCTACTTCTATCAGTAAACTTACAACATTAGCTGGGTCCTCCATTGAAGTATGTAGTTCTCCATTTTGTTGCTTAAATGGTAAAGGGTGCTCATCTCCACTAAGTTCACTGACTCCACTTAAATCACTCTCCTGTAACATGCAAAGCATTCATTAGCAGAGATCAACCTCTAGAAAGATACAATTTCTGATGACAGGATCAACCGGACATATGGACAATGTATATAAGATGATTTGTAAAGCCTACCAAATAATCCTACAAAAGAATTTTATAAAAGTTATATTAAAGGCATCTAACAGAAGATCGCTTTGAGTTAAAAACATTACACAAACTGAGAAACTATGTACATTAACTATTGTAACTTGCATTTAGTGTTTTATTAAAGAGTTTGTGAAGGATAGACTCCCTGTGGAGTGAAGAGTCTTACCATATTTTTGTAGAAGAGTTCCTGAAGGATCGACTCGCTGTGAACCGGATCACCAGGATCACTCATTAGATCTAAGTCCTGTGATATGCTAGATCTAGGACTTCCTCCCATCATCTTTAGTATCTAGAGTTAAAAAAAAATATTACACACTCTGTTTTAACATATCATCTTCCTTTATTTTAGATAAAAAAGTCTCTTCATTAAAGAAATTATTCTTCAAAATATTATATTCAATTGCATGTTGCTCACTTCTGTAGTATTCAACACAAAGTGGGTGATATCCAACATCTGTCGTAATTAACAATTATTGGGTAGGAAATCATAGTAAAGTTGGTGATACTTTCGAGGGTATGACGTCAAGTGATGCTATGAGTTTAATATGTATTAGGATACATACCTGCAAGTTGTCTGTCAGCTGGTTTCCTAATACAAAGTCGACAGGATCACAGTCAGTCTGTGAGATGTCAGTTGTTCCCTTTTCTGCCTTAAGAATCTCTTTAAGCAGGCTTCCTACTGAACTGCGTCTGGAGTGATGAATTGATCTTACATTTACAAAGAATGATAAATTTTATTTTAAAAAAGTAAGTCAAAAAGTAAACAAAACCACATATCTAAACAGGATAACTTCTCTTTTCTGTGACTTAACAGAAGAGCTAACATGTTCACCATTAAATACATGCTTCCAGTTTTTGTGGCCCACTACAAATGAACAACACTTAAACTGGTACCCCTCACACTTCAAAATGAAAGGGATGTAAAAAGCAACATCATGAAAAACTGTCTGTTTCTCAATACAAGACATCTTCATCAGAATGCTTGTGTTTCTCAAATAATCTTTGATTGGAGCTTTTTGTTAACCAATATTACAACAACAGCTTTTCACATCCACATTTTCTTTTCTCCATCTAAGTATCACTTAATGAATTTTTCATTTCCTTTTTTTCTTTCTTCCTCCCCTTCTTTTCTAACATTGACCTCCTCTCATTCACACCTTGATATGTACCTTGATACAGCAAATTCAAGGTTTTATTTATTCATTTTTATGGCGAATAAAGTCCCCCCAATAGCCAGGGTTATATCACAACAGCTGTCAAGAGATACAGCTAAAGTGAAAAACAAAGCACAAAAGGAAATGGAAGACAACATTTTGCAGGTAAATGAATTTGTTTGTAATTCTTCAGGGTTTTTTGGGTATGATAGTGGGCCCAAGCCTACAATGAATTTACAGAGAAGTTAAATTCCAAAAATTTGCAATTCACTCCGGAGAATTTCCTGCCCAATTCAACAATTTTTTTCCCAAAATGAGGCAAACAGCACCCATCCTAAATCAGTAAAAAAAAAAGACAGGCTCTCAGATGTTTTCATGGCAAAGAAAATTTGTTGAAAATGTTCATTGATACAGTCAAGCAACCTTTCTAAGATTCTATTTCATTTTTCAGTAAAACTTAGACATAAAGATTCAAACAACAAGTGCCTACCTTTCTTCTTGCATATCTGGTTGGTTTGTGTGTAACTCCTCATCTTTAGGAGGCAAGTATGACTGTTTGACACTAGTCTGAGGCCCACCCTCATCCACAGAAGATATGATCATCTGGTCTCGAAGCTTGTTCCCACGATCAAGCAGCACAGACAGGAGGTCTGACTGGGACTGTCTGCCGGCAGGAATATCTACAGCAAACCAAACAACTCGGATATATATACAATTATATACCAATATCTACAGTAGGCAGTCACTTATATATACACAATTATATACTAACCCACAGCAGACAGTTTAGTTTAAACATATTTTATTTGACCAAAAATCAAATGGAATTGGACACGAGTTAAACAACTTAGGAACATTCTCTTCCATAAACAATTATACAAGGTAACATACATATATGGCAGTATTTCATCAAACATTGAATCATTGATTTATACATAAAATAAACATAACAGCAGACAGTCACTCAGATGTACACAATTATATACAGATATATACAGTAAACTGAGTCACTCATTTAGAAACAATTACAGACTAATATATACAACATATATATTGAGTCACTTCATATATAGACATATTTATGAATACCTACTGTTACATATGAATCCTCTTCCAAGTCTATGATAGAATTCCTAAACTTCATTGCATTAATTAAAAGCCAATAGCCTATCTGTTTGGTAAAACCTAAGCTAATTACTTCTATGTGTTTATAAATCAGTGACCTGCATAAAAAGGCAGTCAGACTTGACCTACTTATTTACTTATTTATACACAGATTGTCAGATTTGACCTACTTATATTGTGTGATCATAAATAAGTGACCTACATACTAGTCAGACTTGACCTAATTATTATGTGTTGTCATAAATCAGCGACCTACATACCATGGTTGTCAGACTTGACCTACTTACTCTGTGCAGATGGTAGGTCCTGACTTAGGTTGGTTGTGACCACATCCCCATTAGTTGTGATGGCCACAGTGCTGCCTGACTGTATCCCAGACAATTGTCTCTCCTCGGTTTCCTGCAGACTGTAGTTTAATTGTTTTCGGAGGTCTTCTGCCCGGTCGACATAACCATTCTGAAGGCCATTCTTGAAGTAAAGTATAAAGTGCAATAACTTACCATAACCTTACTGAAATCCATTCAGGTACATTTTGTTTCTGTATAAAAATTTGTTCATTTCATTACATATAGAGCTAACTTTGGATGATGGAGTTAGAGTAGTGCATATATTACATATATTTATTCTACAGATGGAATGGACATAAAGCTCTTATATAGGTCATCGCATTCACATTTAATAAGATTTCAATGAAAGAAATGAATCACCTAAATATCGGTTTCTCTGATGTTATGGTTTTAAGGAAACTTACTCTTACAGTTTAACTGAAGCTATCTGAGGGACCAGTATTAAATTACAACATAATTACTTACTTGATGGGATGCTGGAGAGATAAAAGGATCCTCCACTGGTTTTTGAGGGGCCTGGGAGTGAGGTATTGGCTGAACTCTCTGTGGATACATTGACTCCTGTGTTGCTTGAGTTTCCATACTGATGTCTGTAGTTGGTATAGACCCAGTGCTGTCATAGGAGGCTTATCAAAGTAAAATTTGTAAAATTAATTAATAGTTTTATCTATTTATTACTGCATAAGATCATGAGAAGATTATCTCTAACTGTACAGGCCATTACATTACCACAAGGATTAATCCTCCACTTAATTGACATATATAGGTACAAAATGTGTTACTTTTAAAAGAATTGTGCAAAAATCTTTTCCAATTATCATAACAGGAAGGATCTAATAAACAACGTGTTAATGTAATTCTTTTTACCCATTAAAGATTCCAGTATTAATGATACATGGATTTCTCCCAACTTTTCTTCTCGTGGTGAAAATACAGGGTACATCCTGGAAAAAGAAGAAAGACTCTTTACACATTTGTTATACAATAAGTACAAGTAAATGAATCAATTTTGATTATATCATTTCATTTTCAGAGGGCTAATTTTTAAAATGTCTATCAAATTAAAGAAAAAATAAATTAGGTGTACATGTTCAAACTTTTTCATCTTCATTAATTATAAATATGTGTGTCTATAACATGGGCTAGTGTATGCTGTTAGAAAATGTATATATGTCATATCCTGACACAAAACACACCCATCGATAGGCCTGGTGTTAGACAGAAGTCCTATTTGTGTTATTTCTGCCTGCCCCACTGGAATCATCATAGGCCCACTGAGAATCTCCACTGCCAGACTACCCATGTCCACTAGATATGATGCAAACTGTCTTGGACCAGACCTTACTGGGTACCTGGCTGTTGTCTTAGCTGGACCCTTATCACCTCTTTTCACATTTAGTGGTCTGTAAATGAAATAGTAACAGGAATGACAGCATTATGATCCTGCAGTGATTTTTGTCTGATTTTCCAATATTTTCATGTCATATACCTTCCATTACTAAGACACAAAACATAGTAACTAATTAACTAGACCTTCTGAAGTTACAACTCAAAGAGTTAAATAAAGGTTTCCCAATGTGCATGTTGATCTAACTCAAGTTAGTTAATTTTCAAATTTAGAAAATGAAGCGATAACACACTGCTACAGAGTTTATCACATGTCATAACAGTTGTGAAACAGACACAGAAATGGGATAATTGTAATTCTTCAGTTACATTCCATATGTTAACTTTAAGTAAATATAGAGTCTTGTAGCTATGATGGCATACAGAAAAAACTATATTCCTTGTAGTGGTACACTGACTGTACACCAGACAAAACCTTTATCTGATTAGGCAATGTGTAAAAGTTTTGCATACAAGGATGGGCTGATATTGCTACTTTAACCTAGATTGTAAGTGTAGACTGAATAGCATTGGATATGACCACTATCTAATTAATGCCTCTCATTTAAAGTAATATACTAGGCATTTTTAATGAAGTTATAATTACATAAACAAAACTATATACTTTACAATTATTACCTGAATAAAGCTCCATCACCATCTTCACCCCACCACTTCACCCTGACATGTGTGACATCAGGAGGATTAGGGGAGTGCCAGTGGATTTGGTCAATGTTTAATCGACAGAAACATCGCAACTGACCATCCACCTGAGGGGGTAGGCCTGTCTGCACTTGAACATCCTCCATTTGCCATGATCCTACAAATGTATTTTGTATTTTATCATGAATAAAATCCAATGGTTGCACCAACAGTTATTGCTTAAATGTAAAAACGGTATAAACACTGATACTTTAGGGGGATGGTTGTGAACACATGAACATCCTCCATTCGTCATGACTCTACAAAAGCATCTCTTTTTATCTTTAATGCATAAAATCCATCAGTTGCACAACCGTGTTTTAATATGAAAACGGTATAAACAGTGTCTCTTTTTAAGCTTTATCGATCGATGCAATAGAAAATTAAAGACGACCCTGAGTGTAATTCACCAATATTCAAAATCAAATGCAGGAGGGGGTCGATTGGGCCTGTTTATTCCTTTTCGTCGATTCCAACGGGCATTGGCAAGAAATTGCAAAACATAATCTGCATTGTTTGCAGAGTAGAGATGAGCTAAATGGATTACCGATTAATCATACAACTTTAATATCACATATTTATATTGGCGCCACCATTAAACGTCAAACTTGACAGCATGTACGAACATGGTTCGAAGTCAACGGTTTGTTTACAAGTACGCTTACCTCGTCTTTTGGTTGACTTGGAAGATTTTGCCTTCTTTTTCACCATTTCTGATGTAATTCAAAATACTGCCATAGAAATGACAGCATCTTAAATGTATCCTGTCAATCGATATTCACGCCTCGAATCTGTTACCATCCAAAACATTCCGTCCAAACTTGTCCGCCATAACTCTTATCGTCCAGAGTTCTCGCAACACGAGATTACATCAACTGTTTAAAATAAAATTATTCAAAAGCACAAATGTCCAAAACACTGTCGTGGTATATTAACTGAATAATATTGATATATCAAATTTTCATCAAATAAACTCATTGTATAACAGATAATTATTTCCCATCGTGGTTTAGAGATTATGAATTTGGTTTTACGGATCGCGGAATAATAAGTCTTAACGGATTATAAAAAAATCTATTTGTGCCAGTGAAGTAAAGCATTGTGGCTTTTGATAATTCATTCCCACTTTTCATGAATACTAAGAACAATATATATCATCACAAGTACGCATGGAGGGGAATTACCAGATGTGTAGAGTAAATGTCAATATTCAGGTTCCGTACTATTTCTACAAACCGTATCCGATTTTGGCTTGATTTCAAGAAAGATGTCTGCTCTCGAGAGGCAAGCTTTGAAGTCCAAGATTGGTGGTTTACCACCAATGCCTCCATCGGGAGTTGGGTAGGAACAATTTTATCGAACGAGTATATCATGGTTTAATGTATTCATAAATGTATCATATGATAAACTGGGGTAAAACACCAATCCAAATGACATGAGTATGAAGAGAATACCGGGCACCTGTCACTTATTCAGCTGACAGTCATGGAAATACCAATGTTTATTCCTAAATGACAAGAGATCATTTCTGTCTTGGTTTATAGTTACAAAGCTATTATTCCATTCAGGTCGGTATTGATAACTACTTATATGTCATATGGCATGCACACTAAAAACAGCTGATGAAGTTGGAACTTGCAGTAGTGTAACGTACGTTAGAGTAGAGTTATTTCCCTTACAATACCCTTACAAAGTAATTTTTGGTACCAGAATATTTGTTTAGACAAAGCTTAAAGAAAAAACAAGCACAAATCTTTGCAACATACACTTTGTACCAGTGCAAATTATGTTTTTCAATTAAGTGTCATTGAGCATGGTTATTACTTCACATCTTATTGATAATCAAATGAAAATTGGATACAGGCTTAGGTCCTAGCAATACCTTGGTTATGGTACATCAGCCGATTAAGAACATCATTTGTCACTTGCACTCATTATGGACAAAAAATACAGTTCTGCCTGTGTGAAAATTGAAATACATATCATCATGTATCACCCTATATGTATCTTAATATTTCAATCTTTCATATTTTTGTGGTTCAATGCTATTCTTAATTTTTCTCCACTGGAGCACTGGTTCTGTCTGGTTTTCAAACCATTGTTTCCTTATCTCAGTGCTTATAAATCTTTCATACCATGGCTCTATGAGTTGACATTTTTGTCAGTATGTAGAAAAGAAAACTTATAAAAGATTCTTTTTATGTTTTGGATATTTCACAGACTACCATCAAAAGCAGAAAAGGGATAACAATGTGTTATCAAATCCATTTAAAAACAACAGCTTGCTTTGTTTGAGATGCCTGAAATTTTACTTTTGTGTTGAAACCATGATGTTTATTACAACACCCTTGGACTGATTTGATCTGTTGTAGGGGAGGAGTGTCCAAGAGGAACCTGATGAGGAAGAAGGACTACACAGCAGTTCACTGGGATAAGTACTTTGATCAGAAACATGATGTCCAAGTAGGAGAAAGTGTATCTTTTCTGTAAATGATGTGGTTTTAGACATCAGAATTTATTAAATGTTTGATTTTAACAAATTTGGAAGTAATTGTAGCAGTAGAAAATTGTGACATACCTGGTTTTCAATAAAACTACCAGTTCAATAGAAATGCCACTAAATATGATTTCATTATGTAGCGATAACCCCTAAAATATTTAGACAGATCTTATAGGTTTGAATCCTAGCAGGATTAACAAAGCATCAATGAATACTGTTATCTGTGAAGAGTTGTAATTACAAAACCTTGACTTTGACATTAGACATTCCGATTGTATGAATGTGGAACATCTGGACCAGTTCTACTCTTTTTACATGGAGGTGGATTTTCTGCTCTTTCATGGTCATTGGTGTCGGTGAGTCCACTTGTTTTGATCATATCTGTCACACATTCATGTTGTGTTTAAACAAAATCATTCTATTCCAATGAATTTTTTTCAATGTTTAAGTGCTCATTAGGCGATTTATTTGTTTTCCAGTCCACACTCTGTCAGTTGGTGACCTGTCGATGCGCTGCTTTGGATCTCCGAGGGCATGGTATATATTTCTTATTAGCCAAAGTCAGGGTTTAAAGAGTGTTTTATTATAGTGATCTTTTGTCAAACACACAAAACAACCAGACTAGAAATTAACAAACAATGAAAACTTGTTAAATAGCCTATTTTCAAACAAGTTGTAAAAATATTTATTCCATTTTTATTTGATAATGTAATTTATTCTATGAATGGCATAGCATTTTGTCATGTATGAACAATGTTAAGATCATTAATCTGACTATAGCTATTGAGCCCAGAAAAGTTGTTGGTGAAACCATTGCAGTAACTCAAGGCTGCAGAACAAAGTTTGTACTCTGTGCTCAGGTCTTATTGGGCTGAAATTGTAAAATAAAAAAGTTCCTCTGCATATGTTTTACCCATCTAAAGATTCTGTCTGAAACAATGTCAAATAGGTCCCAAAAAATGACCTGCCACTTTCAGATATCATCTATGATCAGCTGAAGAAAAGAAGATTGAAATACCATTTGTTGGGTTACAGATAAAATGACTACTTTTCTATGCCATTTTACTAGAGTCTCTCTGAACATTTGATTTTTTTTTTTTTTTTGCATTGGAAATTGAGAATTTTGTATCTGTTTCCATGAAAAATTCAGAACCATTGTTAGCAATGGAAATTTTATACCCATGACATACAATTATTGTAAACATAGACCCATTCTAGTTTGCATAGAATGACCACATTCTCTAAGGAATATTTAAAGGCATGGCTGTAATATGTTGATATTTTGATGAATACTTTCAGGTGATACAGTTTCCAATGATGATGGTGACCTATGTGCAGAGACATTGTCCAGGTATTGAACCCATGTTCCCATGTTAAGTGTTTTTGTCAGCTAAAGGTATTAACATAAAGCAATTTTTAATATTTTTTCTTGTGAATCCAGAGCACCATTTCCAAAATTTTGATATGTCCAGTTACAAAGACATATATAGCCAAACTTAAAATTTGAGTGAGTCCCACAAGAAAAGCATGAGTCTATCGGAGTCCCAAAAATCACTGATGTGATCTATTATTGTGTAAATAATTGAACTCTTATAATGAATTACTGATTTGTTGACATTGTGTTGTATTTGCTTGTGCTATTTGCCAAAATTGTGATTTTTTCCCCCATATATCAACAACTTTGTTCAATCTGTATTGAATGTACCTCCCTACACCAGTAGGTTGAATTAAGATTCTTCAGGTGTGGTTATTGATAATTTTGACTGACACTTTAACATATCATTAGAATAATCACAATAACACTCCATCCTTTCAAAACACTTTCATATTTTTTTTTAAAGAAATTATCAATGCAGTGTTAAAAAAAATGAACCACAAGGTAGATTAATATGTCTTTAAACAGTGATGTCGGTGATGTTGTGAAATCCTTATATGGAGATGAGCCGCCACCTATAATTCTGATTGGTCACAGGTAAGATACAGTTCATGTCATATCTTAACTATTTCAGCATGAGACTAAATAAAATCTATTTTGGAAAATTTCTCATATATTGGACTCATTTTTGACTAACAAATTTTAATGGGTTTCAAGAAAGCTATAACAATTAATTTGTTTCACTGGAGAAATATCAAATCTTGTTTTCTCTATTACATTAATGAATTTGTTGGAGGCCCAAATTTTGGTGTTTGTTTATAAAATGTCATGTGTTTCAGTATGGGAGGAGCTATTGCAGTACACACTGCAGAGAGAAAACTTATACCATCAATAATTGGTCTGGTTGTGATTGATGTTGTTGAGGGTAGGTATAGGTACATTTTTACCAGGAATGTTAAACAGAAAAAGAATTATCTAAAAGGTGATAGGTTTATTTGCTGGCCCATTAAAGATTAGAAAATGTATAGTGCTCCAAGCGACAAGGAGGGAGTAACAATCTGTGTCATTCATTCATTGATTTTGAATCAATACAGAGGAATTTGAAATCAACAATATCAGATGTTTTGAAAACTACTAAATTTTCAGTATTTATTAGAAACAAGTATTCACAAAGTGAAGCTTTTTCTGAAAAAAGTTTGTGCCACAATATTTCTCTTTTGAGTTATCGTCCTTGACTCTCAAGTTTGGAGCTGTTCATGATAAGAACAGATTGTTGTCATCTGGCTCAAGTTAAAATTTTACTTTACTATAACTGTAATATTACACTTTTCATGTTAAAATGTCTTCGTGAGCTGATCAGGCCCCTGGGCATCTCATTGATTACCATCACCTTTAGTAGATTGTTTCCAATCCTCTTCTGAAAAAGACTTAGAGAAAAATATTATCTTTATTGAACAGGCACTGCTATGGAGTCACTTAACAGTATGCAGAGTTTTCTGCGTGGAAGACCATCTACGTTTAAATCCCTAGAGCATGCTATTGAGTGGAGGTTTGTATAGATTTTTTTTATGAAGCATAACGGTAAAATGATAAGTTGTAGGATTTTGGATAGTCTTGGCTAGAGTGCAGTTTTATCAAATTACCTATGTGTTTCAAAAGTTTCCTCAATGTGCTACCTATACTACACAGAAAATAAGATTGGATATGGTATTGCTTAATGATGTTCACTATCCTATTAGATTGACTATTTATCAATAATGAAGTATATGTTCTAAATTCATGATAAATTTGATTTTAAATTGATCATTGTCCATTGCAAATGGTATTAGTTATTGTAATTTTTTTTTAATGAAAAATTCCTAAACCACAATATTGAATTTGTAGTGTTCGAAGTGGACAGATAAGGAATCTGGAATCTGCCAAGGTGTCCATGGTTGGGCAAATAAAACGGTAAGTTATACACAACAAATTCTTTTAAATATATTCTAAAAAGATAATCTTTGATGGAGAAGTAATACTTAAACTCAATTTGAAAATGCCAGTCATTATGTGCCTTACATCAATTTTTCTTTTTGTTCTTTTATGAATGAAAATCATCTTTAGAAGAAATTTCTAATTTTCTATTTCAGACTTGATACTCAGGAAACTGCTACATCTGAAATGGAACAAGATTGTGGGTTAGAGTTAAGTACATCAGGATCAAGGGTTGGTGATGCTATACAAGAGGAGGATGAAGATGGAGAAACCACATCCCCAGCAGAATCTCAACAGTCCAGCAGCTCTGATCATTTTAGAACACCAAAACCAACAGTGAGTATAGTGGTTTGGCTGCTTTTTATTTACTGGCCAGGAGTTAATTGAACTCCTCTCTTACCAGTTCTAACTGAACACTGAAATTTGAAAGAAGAGATTATTTGGTCCCTCTAAAGCCAGTCATGGGTTTATTTAGTTCTTGGTTCTGTATTCTACAGTATAAAGTATCCACATAGTTACGATAATAGAGTCCTGCTCAACTCTATCAATAGACATTTCAATTTGATAAAAATCATTCTCAACAGTGATCTTAATTCCCTTGTCCATCATCTTCCGAAAATAATTTGGAAGTGACTGAAACAAAAAGAAAAAACGAATTCCTCTGGTAACAATCACAAACATTTAATCAATTTGAAGACAACTCTCACACCAAATAGAACGATAAAGCAGTCAAACATTATAAGTAAATCAACCAGTAAATTTTTTCTAAAAGGTTTTCACTGATGAATGATTGACTTAGAATCTATTTGTAATAATTTTAATAGTGCTGTGATAGTGGCTGTTTTAAGAAATAATTTGTGTTGCAGACAGAAAACTCGTCCCAGTACACATGGCGAATAGATTTAGGCAAAACAGAAAAATACTGGAAAGGTAAGTATACAATTGTACATAGATGTTCTTTGTTTACCTGTTTATAATGCATTAATATTTTAGTGTTATCTAAGGAAATTGAGCACTCTATATATACTGAATAGGCGCTGGAATTTCTTGAATTTATCAAAAAAAATTATATGTAATGACAAGTGATATTATTGAGATAGTGTCATGTTATAATAGTGTTCTTCATGATCTCTAAATAATTAAGTATTTTAATTTTATCATAGGATGGTTTCAAGGCCTGTCTCAAAGGTTTTTATCCTGTGAAGTTCCTAAGATGTTGGTTCTTGCTGGTGAGTTGATCTGTGATGGTTAGATCAGACTGCACAGACTTTGTACATGGTATTGAATAAATACGATCATGATTGCATCCACCTGTATATCCACCCAGAAATTGTGTGGTAATCGGTACCTTTTCTGAAGGAGTTTTCAGTAGTACCATGCAGGTTATGTTGCACTGTCACAATATTAATTTATTGCTGTATAAAACCACTGCTATGATAAGTAATCATTGTTATTTCTCAGCAAGATAATTACAGCATGTACAATACAATATGACAGTACATTTAGTATTTTGGCAAAGGTACATAAAAAGTGAAAATTCATTAACTCAAAGCTGTTAGGACAATGAAAAAACTTTTTTGAGTTATAAGATTATTCAAGTTAAAAGAGTTTCAACTTCAGCTGTAAGAATTTGTGTAATAAATAGCCTTAAAAAAAAGGCAATTTTTATCATTGATTTACTGACACCTTGTGAATTTCTAAAGGACAAGAATATCAATACACAATGTTAGCAATTCATTCAAAAGTTACAAACAGCTTTATAAAGTTAATATAAAATATAATATGAATATTACATTAAATAAAGAAATGATATCACAACACTTGCATGCAAGTATTAGCTGAGATCTCACAGTAAACTGGAAATAAAAGTGTGCAAATGCACACCAGATACAAAATCACTGCTCTGAGATGTCCATGATGAAAATGATTGGTAGAATGTGACACTGAAAAATGTATCACTCAACACTTCCTTGATATTACTTTCTCAATGGTAACTGATTTATTATTTTTTGGCTTTCTCCATTGATATCAAAATCATATATGTGAAAACATTAGCCAAGACTATGACTTCAGCTGTACGAGGAAGTTCTACATGACCAGGAATTACGACCCAAATTTCAGTGTCACATTGTCTTGAGATTTGGGTGTTAAATAAAGTGCTTTTTATAAGTAGTGATTACAATTAATCAACATTGATGAAATCTGATTCTTCTTAATATTAACATGTATTAATTGTGACAACAGTCAAGAGAGATTTCATTTTTAAAGTGATAATGGGACATAGGATGCTATACTATAGAGTGAGACACAGAATGACTATTTGTCTTAACATTCCAGGACCAAATTTTTACTTTGAATTATCAATTTTATCTAGTTTTCCAAATGTTTATTTTCTGAGTCTTCATTACAGATATAAAGAGATAATTTTGCTGATACTGGCATAGTACTTTAATTTAAGTTGGGTATTTAAGTTTGATTGTACAATATTTTTAGAAAGAAAGAAGGAGGAAAAATTTTTTTTCAGATGCAAAGAACTTTTTACGTGTAGATTTTGTATCTTGAACTTTGTCACTGAAACAGTCATTTCAGAAATGTGTATCTTTTTTCTCTCCAAAAGGTGTAGACAGGCTGGATAAAGATTTAACGATAGGGCAAATGCAAGGTAAGACCATGAGATATGAAGTGAATATGGATATGTAATATTAATTGTGAAAGACATGGTCTCCACCTTTAGGGGCTTAAGGGGAGGGGCCAAAAGGGTTCAGATTTCAAAAATCTTTTTCTCAACACCCAAATAGAATCAATGCTCCTCATGAATGGAAAGGTCTTGATATGCTCTACTAAAACTTAATTTCATGACCCAATGGACTCACATTTCCCCTTGTGGAGAGGGTGAAATTTACTATAAATTATCTCAAAACAGCGCTGCCTTTCCTCATGTTTCATATGGTTACAAAATCATATCACTTTAGTGTTACCTTCAACCATATCACAATTTCTATTTCATTACACTTGAAAGGAACTTCACCTAGTATCGTTTTACATTCAATATTGTTTACCTCAGGTGACAGTCAAGGTCGCTAGGCTTCATGTTCGAATTTAGAGCTAGTCTAATGTAACAAAGTATTAATTCATTGCTTTGTGATATTTACAGGTAAATTTCAGATGCAGGTGTTACCTCAGAGTGGCCATGCTGTCCATGAGGATGTTCCAGATAAGGTATATATCTACAGCACTGAGGCTGTTACACCCTTCATACACCAATGCACAAGTACACACTGAAGTTCACTGATTTTAAATGTATTTTGATGGATATAATAAGACATTCATAGTAAAACCAGAACTCAGATTTTAACCAAATGTCAGTAACTTTTCAATATTAAATTTGCCTTGTCTATTTTTTTAGATTTGAATCCATTATAAAGATGAGAAGATAATAATTTTTTGATGCATTTTTGTTGTAATAGACTGTACCAATGAAAACAATGTTATTTGCATTCATTATTTTTGTGAAATTTCAATTATACAGGTAGCAGACATTTTGGCAACATTTATGGTGAGATATAAAGTCGCTGAACCTAGAGACAGTTTTCAAAGGTATTTTGAATTGAAATAATACTCTCTGTTACAGAATATTTCTTATAACAGGAATGTGACATTCTATATTTGATACTATTGGGAATTTTCTTGAAGAAATAGATAATTCCAGCTATTATAGTACTATATTTTAATAACTATATTTCAGGTAGATAAATCCAATTCCTGTGCTCTAAAAAGAATGAAAGGATAAGTTCATGTATTTATTGATTAATATTTCTTTAAGCAACTTTGTGATTTATTTCACAGTAAAGTGTTTTAGTTACTGACCCTGCAACACTCTTTCTGTAATATATAATGAGGGCAGGAAGAAAGGTTGTGATCCATAGCTGCAATAGGAGCTGTTGCTTAATTCAGTGTTGTTCCTTGAAAATTAATACGCTGTATGGATGAAAATATTGGCAAAGAGACAATCTCTATACTGCAAAGGGTTATGTTTAAAGTTAAAAGACCCCAAGTTAGGGAGGGATTACTAAAATGTGAAAATCTCCCCAGTTATTCATTACATTGTTGAAAACAAAAACTTTCAGAAAAGTATTGACATGTTGATACAATGTGACAATATCACAAACTGAAATTTTAAAGGAAGTTGGTGTTTTATTTCATTTTCCAGAAAATATCACTTTTATGACTCTTTTACAGGTCCTTTCCAGCCTGTTGATGCTCATGAAGTCCATTGTAAGTGGAGCTATCAAACCTAAGGGTTGTGTTCAAGGTTCGTAGTACCCATTGTTGGACAGTCCTACAAAGCTTTTGGTGGATGCATTGTCAAATAAACAAACTGACCTGCTGACCACTGTGTCAAAATACATCAGAAGCAGATAGCTGAATGCCAATCCCCACAGTTTCAATACATATGTACATGTACTGGCTATGGTTAATTACGAGATTGATGATACACTGTGGTACAGGCAGCATGATCCTGTGATATGTAAGAGGAGGCAATGTTCTGTGTCATTCTACAATAGTGTAGTGGACATATGAATAATTAAAAGGGCTGTGGATGTAAATTGTATCTGGGCCAGTACAACATGTTCTTAAATTTGTTGTGCTTGTCAGGAGAATGATCTTTTCTCTTTTTACAAAAAAACTAATGCATAAAAAGTAAATTTCATGAGATGTATTTTGTTCACTATTTGTTAGGTCTCCTGAGATAAAGTCTCTTGGTGACCTGTTGCGATTGCCTTTCGTCTGGTGTCATGGGTCCTGTGTCCACTAGCTGTTCACATTTTCAGATTCTCAAAAACCCTCAAAGCAGTGCCAAAAGCAGTCAAATGGCTCTAGTTTTTAAAATCTGTACCCAGATATAGTAGAAGTAAGTGCTCTTCATGGATGGAAGCATCTTACGGTACTTTACCAAAACTGTGAATTTTATGTCCCCAGGATCTCGCATTTTGTCCTTAGGAGGGTGTGTATTTTATTATGGGTTATGAAGTAAACATACATTTTTGAGCATAGTTAAATTTCCATTGGAAATATTTCAAACTTGGTTTGAACTATGATTGAAGGACGACGGCATGATGGTGTGCACATATTGATCCTGGCTGACCCCCAGGGGCTGATGGAGTTGGCCAAAAGTGGTCAAATTGACTCAAATTGCAAAAATCTTCTGTACACCTAGATAAGTTAGAATCAAATGCTCTTCATGGCTGGAAGCATCTTAATGTACTATAAGAAACTTGTGAATTTCATTACCCCAGGGTCTCACATTTCTCCTTAGGAGGGGACTGGAGTGAAGTTTACTATTCAATTTTATAAGATTATTGCATAATTGAGCATGAAATTGTTCATATTCATTGGAAATAACTTAGTAAAAATAATTAGTATGACAGTTTTGATGATATGCATATATTGACGCTGACTGACCCCCAAAGGCTTAAAACATATCACTTAATTCCTCTATCATCAATGTCACAATTTCTTTTTCATGACACTTTAAATCTTCTTCCCCTATAATCTTTTTATGCAATGTTGCTTAACTCGGGTGACTGTCGAGGACACCAGGCCTATTGTGTTATGTATGTTGTCGAAGAATGTTGATAATTAGTTAGCTTTAATGTCTGCAGTACAATGGTTTGCATGCAGCAGATGTCATTTTGGAGATGTAGCTATAGTAGAGGGAGCTTGATATCAATTGATGTTCCATGTGAACATATTGGCCAGAACAAAAGGAAGTCTATAAAATTGCTACAGTTTGTATGTGTACATTTATTGGCATTGTCAGCTGGCCAAACATGCCCTCCTGTATACAGAGTTACGTCCCTTTGTTCAGTTCGGCCATTGAAATTCTGTCTTGTTTTGGCTGGTTGGTACAATATGTGACTGATATTTTTTTGTCACTACTTTATCCTGCAGTATGCTGAATATCAGACGTAGAAGGGTTCCATGTGTTAGTAATGATTTGTGCTATGCGCCGAGTTTTTTAATTGTTTCATTAAGCCTCTCTGTTTAATTTATTAAGCTTCAGAATAATTGGTGTGTCTGTATATGATGTCATGAATTCATTAAATAATCATCCAAAAAATTAATTCATTCTGTTGATAATTAAATTTTCTTAGGCATTAAAACTCTACTTTACATATATATTGATTTCCTGATGTCTTTTAATCAGGTTATTAATTGTCCAAATTAAATTTTCATATTTTTGATTGTCAACAATTTATTAGATTGTATGTGTTGACAATAAAACTTTGACACCTTACACTTCTGTTATCTTGATATCACTCCATCTTGTTATTTCCAAACAGCTGTAGTCCCATGTGCTGCCTACATTTTTAGCCCCCATCCCTAGGACTGATCTGAAAAAGACAAAATGGCTGTTAGTGCTTTTTCTTGTGTAGTGTACAGTGGATATTTCTGCAATTTCACATGTAGATTACCCCTGGTCTCTACAAGTGATTTTTTTTGTGTGTTTTGATCAATCTGGTGAATAGAATGGCTGACAGGTGACCATCATGGGTTTGTGACTTTTAAAGTTTATCATTAGCTCACCTAGTCTGAAGGGCAAAGTGAGCTTATGGCAAACTGCAGCATTAAGTGTCTGTCCTTCTCTCTGTCTGTCCGGCAACTTTTTCATACAAATTGCTACTAGTCATTAACAACATACAGGATTTTGTCAGAAGTATCTCTAGGGAAAGCTGAAGACATTTTGTATAAATGGTTGGTCTTGGGTCACCAGGGGCCTGCAGAATGGAGCCGAAAGGGGGAAATTTAAAAATCCTCCTCCTCCTGTAGGAATGATTGGGTTTTGCCCAAATTTATTCGGAAGCATCATTGGATGAAGGGGAATTAGTTTGTATAAACAATGAGTCTCAGCCCTCTGGGTGGAAAAAGCAGGGCCCAATATGAAAATAAAGCAAATTCTTAAAAATCCTACTCCATCTGTAGGAATGATTGGATTTGGCCAAAATTTAATCTAAAGCATTGTTGGCTGAAGAGGAATCAATTTAGGGAGGGGTGGGGCCTAATAGGAACAGATCAAATATGAGTAATTGGAATTTGCCCAAATTTTGTCTAAAGCATCGTTGGGTGAAGGGGAATCAATTTTGTATAATGAGTGGGTCTCGGCTTCCCGGAGCAGAAGGAGGGGACCAATAGGGGTGATAGAACATATTCCTAAAAATTCTACTCCTGTAGGAATGAATGGATATTTCTCAAATTTAGTCTGAAGTATTCTTGGATGAAGCAAAATCAGTTGTGTATAAATAGTGGATTCAGCCCCCTGAGATGGGAGGAATAGGACCCAATTAGGGAAATAGAGCAAATTATTCAAAATCCTACTTCTTCACTAGGAATGATTAGATATCACCCATGGGCTGGAGGGGTGGACCCAAGCACAGAAATTAAAGTTCTTTTTCCATACAAGGATATTGTCCAAGTTTGGTCTGAAGCAATTTTTTATGAATAGTAAATCTGACTTCTATCTGGTCACAATTCATCCCATCCCATTGGTTGTGCCCCAACTCAATATAAGCACCCATCAACTTCATTCTTTGACAGATTTTGGTCAAACTTTATGTAGAGGTCAATTATGTATACATTGCACAATGTTGTGTTTCAGGAATCCAAGGTTAAGGGCCAAGCTCAACCTTGCTATATATAGGAAATAAATTTGTTTAATTTAAACAATTGATAACTTAATTCTTTCATGGAATGGGGTCAAACTGTATGCAACAATCAATTCTGAGTTTACTTTGGACATTATTGTGTTTCAGGGGTCAAAGGCTAAGGTCAAATGTGCTTTATAAAAAAAAAACGAGTTCAATGTTAACATTTTAACAGAGTTTTGTCAAACTTCATACACCAATTAATTTAGGAGTATATTTCTGGCATCTTGTGTTTCAGAGGCCAAATGAAAAGGCTAAGGTCATCGTTGCTATGTCTAGAAAATCGTCAATTGATTAAACACTGAAATTAATTATACTTGGCGGTGGGGACATTTATATCTTATAGACATTTTCTAGTTCATCTTACACAAGTCTCTGAATCCATTAACCATTGCTTTTGTGTGAAATTAAAAAAAGAATAAAAAAAAAAAGAAACATTAGAAGTACCATATGATGCATCATCATTAATCAGACAGTCTTACCCTCTAACCAACATGTTAACATTTTTCATGTTTTAACTTTGTCGATAATTTCATGATTGGATGCCATCGACCAGTTATAAGCAAACTAAATGTTGCCAACATGGTCAGGTTTTATCACAGTATAAATCAATTTTGAAGTTAAAAGCCTGTCTATAGCTTTAATTCATTTATATGACATTCTTTGTACACATCTTTCACGCTGCACAAACACGCCCAACACAAAACAAATACACAAATTTTAATACATTCTTGATTCTCGAGTACATACAGTCTTACATAATTTCATGATTGGATGCCATCGACCAGTTGTAAGCAAACTAAATGTTGCCAACATGGTCAGGTTTTATCACGGTATAAATCAATTTTGAAGTTAAAAGCCCAAGTCTATAGCTTTAATTCATTTATATGACATTCTTTGTACACATCTTTCACACTGCACAAACACGCCCAACACAAAACAAACACACAAATTTTTATACATTCTTGATTCTCGAGTACATACCTGTAATCACGCTTTAATCTGTTATGCGCATTAATAGCTCTTATTCTATTCACGGAAAAACTCGGGAAGAGTTATATATTTTTAGGTCTGCAGCAAGATGTCGATTAATACAGAAGCAAATTATCTTGCATTTACTGGATGAATCATTTTCAGATTTCACATGTAGGTTCCCCTTGGTCTCCAGTTGTTAGGTCTTCTGACCGGAAGGGTCATGATGACCTATTGCCATCGTAACATTTCAAACTTGCATGAAATGATCATGAGGTGGTCCTGACTATGTATTGTTATTTTTCGGGTTTGTCTTAAAACCAAGACGGCCGCCATGGCCGCCATCTTGAAAAACATATCTTAAACTTCATTTCCAGTTCCACTGGTGCCATTGAGCTACAAATTGGTGGGAATGTTAAGGACAGGTCGTCAACAAAGTGTTGTTATTTTTCGACCTTGTCAAAACTTCGATACGGCAGCTAGGGTGGTCAATTTAGAACATGATTGCGCAAATATGGTTTCCCTGTGCAACACCTATTTCAAACTTCTACTAAAGTTTCACCAGTGGGATTGGGCTCAAACTTGCATGAAATGAACCCTAGATGGTACTGACCAAGTGTTTTTATTTTTCGGGTTTGTCTTAAATAAAAGATGGCCGCTATCTTTGAAAAACATATTTTAAACTTCTCCAGTTTCACGTGTGACAGTGAACTGAAAATTGGTGGTAATGTTGAGGACAGGTCGCCAACAAAGTGTTGTTATTTTCGACCTTGTCAAAACTTCGATACGGCAGCTAGGGTGGTCAATTTAGAACATGATTGCGCAATCATGATTTTCCAGTGCAACACCTGTTTCAAACTTCTTCTAAAGTTTCACCAGTGGAATTGAGCTCAAACTTGCAAGAAATGGTCCCGAGATGGTCCTGAAACCACAAGTCAGATTTATTCAGCATTGTTTAATAATTAATTATCAATTATTGCTTAATTATGCTATAGTGCCCTGGGCTTTTGATGGTAAATGATCTACGCGCATTAAATCGTT